ATCAGCTGCTATCACTCTCTAATTAATTAATACAATTTTACAAAGGGTTTCTACGCATTTTATTCTGCAAGCCTACCCCTACAGCTAAGTATTAGCTGCGCTAGTCCCCTGATTTATAAATAAATTTAACACCAAGGTTTTAAAACATGCAAACCTTTGCAGCACTACCAGTGTCCACACTGCAGATTATTCTATGTTCCTCATAGAAATTTTCACAACATCACATAGAACAAGTCATATCAGAGTATCACAAGTCGTCTAATGAGTGTGTTAGTAATACCATGTAGAACATAGACAACATAATAATGACATAAGCAGTTTTATACTTCATATAGTCCAGAAATGTAACACTTTGAATGAAAGTCAAATGCAGTGTACATATATATGTCCAATCTTAGTATGAAATAAATCAATAATTATAGAAACAGCTCCCAACAGGTCTTTTAACAGAGAAACAACACTTCCTCCAGGTAAGCAGAAAGATGATTTGCCTACCTGGATCTGAAGTGATCACTGTCGACTGTTCGTTGACGCCACTGTTAGGTGGGGGTTGTTTCTGTTTGTATAAATCCAATGAAGAAATCGTGAAACAGACTGGAGATTATAACACCATTTAATCGGCCGAGGTCAGACAACTTCATCAAACAAGCACGCTTCCAAATCACTTGACTGACAAAGTGCTGACAAAGTAACAGTGTTCACAGTGCTGCTTATATTCTGTCAAAAAGGTGCAACCCACAAATTCCTTTCTATTTGGGTGCATCACCATAAAACAATAAAGATGACTGATTTGTATACGTATCAGATGTAGACTCTCTGTGTAGCAAACAGTTGCTGACAACATATAGTTGGCTCCTCTCCATATATAGATCTGCTACTACTTAGGTGCTTCGCTCATATAAGGTTACAGCTTCAGACACCTAAAGATAGGAGTGTTAACAAGTGGTAGACAGACTTGAATAATACATTTCACGAAGTTACCAAGATTAATGAATTTCATGAAAATTCGTACTAACACTGAGGTAAGCACAACTCTTTCCATTTAAAGGGTAACTAAACCCCACATGTTCAGTTGTACTGCTCTACCATAGACTGTAAATATTACTGGACGAACCCTGACCCGTCTGTGACATAGGCAGAAAATGAGTCCAATCGACGGCCGCATCAATATTGGATTTGCAGTCTCAACCTAACTTCGGATCAACCTAGCGACAGCAGTAAGGCGGGACCGGCGGGACTTAGCTCCGCCCATTCAGCTCGACGTTAGCAGTCCACTTCACAGCATAGCTAACGGCTAGGCTGCTATCATCAACTATTCCTGCTCGTCCTGAGAAAACTCTACAAACAGTAAGTTAACATTTAACTTTTCTACAACACAGTTAAAACGAATTATATTCAACACAAATATTTAATTAAAGTCTTAAAACTACACTTTTTTAAATATACAATTATGTTTATGAGTTATTTGTTAGAGAAGTTAGACTTTGTCAGTGTTAGCAGAGAAATACATTAACAAAGTTTTATCCATAAACTGTAAATAAATATGAGACATCCAGAAGAAATCAATATTACAAAGCATACAGTTCATGTTACTGTTCTGACAAAAAGAGGAATGTCTGTGTCTTATATTTACTGATGTCAACAGCGATGAGGTGAACATGACAATTGAAAAATAATTATTTAGTATTTATTATAAGACATTTGTTTTCTATTGAACCCCGTGAAGTCATGGAGTCTGTGGACAGTGTCAGCTTCACACCAAAAACTTTAAGTATTAGAAAAAATAGTATTTAAGACTGGCATCTATTATGATGAGTTGCAGCTACCTTGTTCAATATTATTCCTGCAGATGTGGCTCATAACAAAAAAACAGCCTGAGCTGTCACATGTAGTTAACTGTACATTTTGTGTTGTCTGAGGCATTAATTGAACACCTTTGTATTTCTCCTATAGACACAGTGTGGATTATTGGTGACTTGTCCGTCGAGGTGCCCAGAGAGCTGCAGAGACAGAGGAAGAAACCTGAGCCTCAACAACATCTGCATTTGTTGGTTCTTCTGGGGTGGACTTCAGTTGCTTCTCTTCAACAGCTCGCTGTGAGGGAGGTCTCCCCCGGATGGCCTGAGTGATGTCACCCACAGGCTGAGAGCTGAGGCAGGTTTTAAGCCTTTTGACAAACCGTTACACCGCGCCCACCTGTCAAGCTGGTCAGCTACACGCCTTATTGTGAATAACTCTTATCCTTCATCAAAACATTCACCCCCTGTACAGTGTGTGTCCATCGAGACATGAGCTAATCACACCTATTTGTTTGTTTTGTACCAAGCTGTAAACATGTTCATCTCTGCTGTAAAAACAGACTTTTTTTAATGTTGTTTTTCAGATTAAATAAATATTTCTATATAAATGCACTCTTTTATGTCTACTTATGAGTATACATTTCAGATTAATGCTCAACTCAATAGCTAAGGGAAGGAAGTCTACTTTTACACAACTTCTTACTCTTTTGATAAATACTAATGTAGTTCATTTCTGAAAGTGGGATGGAACAGAGTCATTGCAAAAATTTGCCCTTAAACACAGCCCCATTCTTAAATCAAGATACGTGGAGAGTAAATAAGATCAATAACTTGTGAATAAAAACACAGTTAAAAATGATTTAGAAATGTAGTCTTCCCAGATCAATATCACATAATATCAACTTCTCCCATCTAAACTGGACAAAGGGTTTTAAAATGGGAAGAAAATAGTTTGATTGCAAGTTGTTTGGAGGAGATCTAGTTTTATTTGAACAGCATGAATACAGTCTTCCAAGGTGCAAACCCTCCTCCTCCTCCTGAAGCCTGTGGAGCTCCTTGATGTACTGCTGTCTTATCTGCTGGCCATCTTCTCTCAGCAGAACTTTGACTGTTGAAAAGTCATTCAGAAGAAGCTCGAGCATGTGACATGGATCCAGGAGAACATGGACTTTTAGTGAGGGTCTTCAGGATGACAAAGAAAGAGAGAAAATATCAGTTATTCATTAAATCATTTTTTTGTTCTCATCTATTTTTCTGTATTCATCTGTGTGTAAGACACATTTATAAATTCAACAGTGTACTACCCAGACAACAAAGGTACAGTATTCAGGTAATCAACATCTATTCAAAGTTAAGAAGATAAACATTATTGTAATCATCATCTCTCACTCACACAATGATATTCCACATCAAATTGTCTCAGATTTTGTGAGGAAAAATTAAGCAGTTTATTGTGGATAGTACTTCATCTTAACATGAAACAAATATAACCTGAATTATTTAAATCATTAACAGGTCCCAACTCTCTGTGCTTTAGTACAGAACATACAGTAACTCATTTATTATTAACATGAGCTCAGTACATGGCTGTATTCTTCAAACTATTTCTTATACTTTATATCTATGTGCTTTAATCTTATTTTCATTCCATGTTATTTATATTTTATATTTCTACTGCTATATTCTGTGTATGAGTTCAGTGAAAATTAATATGGTTATTAATATAGTTCTTAATGGTTACAGATGCTCTTACAAAGTGAAGTTTTTTAAAGTTTGTTAACAGTTTGCTCAAATCTTAAGACAGCACATTAGGTTCAGTTCAGTTTATGTTACTGACGGATAATTACTACACAAGTTTGTTTTTTAATGTCCACATTTACGTGGAGTATAACATTCATCATAACGTCAGATAACCACCGAGGTGAACCTTTAGCTTCTAACATCACACAAACTCATTATTTTCAACAACAACATCTTAACAACAAACATTTCTAAACCATTGACCGTAAATAAATGTAAATAATGTAAATAATGAGCTACACAGTTAGCCGACTGGTTTACAAGCTAACGCTAAACAAGCTAGGTCCGTAAATATAAACACATGAGTAAGCAGTAAATATAACACTACTATATCACTTACCGAAGGAAAACTGAAGCATCAACTTGTTGGATGGTCTGTTAACCGCACAGCAAGCCATGTATGTTGTCAGATATGTGTTAAAAAACTCTCCAAACGAAGTAAGAAAGAGGAGAAATCAGACGGATCAAGCTGTTAGCCTCCTGACCTGCTGACCTGACAGACAGATGCAGCGCGCACAGCTGTCAATCAAATCTGACACAACCAAATATGGGCATAGTCGTTTTCCTTAATAGAATAAAATCCGATGAGTTATAAAAAAATTCACCCCCCCCACAGTGTGAGGAGAAGGGGCCGTCAACTTCTCAGATATATCTCGTTTTTTGAACCAGGCTGTAAACATGTTGATTCCTGTGGTAAAAACGGGCTTTTTTGGCTGTGGGCTTATGGCACTTCCGGCGCTTCTGCAGCCAGCCTCAAGCGGAACCTCGAGGAACTGCAGTTTTTTGTACTTCCGCATAGGCTTCATTTTTCGAGACCGGAGGTTGCCCCTTGGCTCTACCCTGGAATTTAAAAAAAAATGCCTTTAAAATGTCAATGTATCAACTTTGAGAGGGAGGGGGGCAGGGGGGTAAGACACGCCCCCTCACTCCTGATCATACAATGTTTGCCCCTCACACACAAATAAACCCCTATGTGCTGCAGGCTGTGTATGGGACATACATGCAGCTGTAAAGAAAGATGATCGCTTTAAAAAATATATTATGCCAAATAATAGCACACATCATAAAAAAAGCACAACATAAAATAACATGATTTCTATTTGTTTCAGTAACAGTGTGTAATACTAGATTGTGAGTCCAGTTGTTGAGTCAAATACAGTGTATGTGTTATTAGGGGGTGGGCTCTTCCTTTTGGAGGGGTGGCCACAGGGGGGGACAAGCTCAGTGTTACAGGGGCACTGGCCCCTGTTGACCCTGCCTAGAACCGACCATGTGTCGAACACAATTTAAACTCCGTGTTCACTTGCTGTCTGCCAGTGGGCTTCTTCAACCGTACGACATTCAATATCAAACTTAAGTTGTTAAGTTAAGTTGTTTCAGGTTAACGGTGCAGTGATTTGAGAGGGGACGCGATGGGGATGAATGGACAGAATGGCACCTGCACAGTTTCTGTGTCTGATTCTAAAGGATACCCACAGCCGCTTAAAAAGTTGGAGGCACGTGGACACTGGGGGAATAAAGCCGAGTTCATCCTGACTGTGATGGGAGCTATCATCGGACCCGGGAATGTGTGGAGATTTCCTTACCTGTGCTACAGAAACGGCGGAGGTGAGTGCAACTGCAACCGATGCTCTCAGTACGACAAACGGGCTTTTATTGGCAACATTATTATTATTATTTACCGCGTTTTCTCACTGCATTCAGTATGCTACATCCTCTTTTCCCAGGCGTGTTCTTCATCCCTTACATCCTCTTCATATTTACATGTGGAGTCCCCTTATTCTTCCTCGAGACTGCCTTGGGACAATACACCAGCCAAGGGGCGATAACTTGCTGGAGAAATATTTGTCCGCTTTTCCAGGGTAAATAAAAGTGACATTATTGTCGCATACTCTGACACAGACTCTACACATGAATGCCGATACAATATTTGTCGTATGGTGCCTTTATTAAGCACTAAATTCTTATAAATAGCAATAGCAGGCACGAAGTTTATGATATAAACTCCTTTTTGTGTGCAACATCAAAGTATTATCTTGTAACCTCCTTTTTTTTTCGTTTTCCTTCACAGGAATGGGCTATGCCAGTCACTTAATCATTGCAGTCAGTGGCACCTCCTATATTGTCATCCTTGCTTGGGCGTTTTTTTACTTGTTCTCTTCCTTCAGTGCAGAATTGCCCTGGGCCACATGTGGAAACTATTGGAACACAGGTAGGCTGCCCTGCAGCTTTCAGCAGAGAGCTTGAAACCTGTAGAATTAAGAAGTTAAAAATGCCCAAATGAAGCATGAAGAGTTTCTTTTAAGCAGACTTAAAAACATGCTAGCCTATTGATAACTCCTTTCACAGAATATTGTTGGAAAAAAAGAAGACAGCAATTGTTATAACTTACGCTAGAAGTTTTGTGTACAACTTTTTTAGTGAGAAGAAAGATCAATGATTTTATAGCATTTAGATAATATGCATGTTAATATATATTGTGAATGCATCAAGGTTAAAAATCTAGTTTAAAATGTTTAAACAACTTGTTTTTGTTTTGTTTTTAGAGTCATGCTTGGACTTAAACCAGCTCAACATGTCCCTAAGTAATATATCCAGACTGAACACTACTCTTCCTGTTGTGGAGTTCTGGGAGTAAGTTAGCTCACAGTTTCGATCCCTGCCCATTTCTCACTCTGAATAATTCTTTTCAACACTCCATTGAAATCTAGATTGGTTTTAGTATTTGTACATTTCTATATTTTCTGATATTAGGCATCTACCGGCTTGCCTTAACAACATTTCATTGTACGTGTACAGTGAAAATAAAGATATCTTATCTAAACTCCCCTTCACACACAGCCTGCCTACAACTTCCTCCACCCACTTTCTCTCACTCATCCTGACACATTGTTTTCTTCCATTATTGTGACTGGGCTGTTGTTCCGACTTTTTTTTTTAAGTTAAGAGTTTTCAATGACTCTCCTGTTAAATTACAGCAAATTTGTGGCCATATATTGGGGAAAAGATCCCCGAACTAAGCGCAATGTTTAAGAGTTTAAGACTAACAAATTGGAATTTGAGGTCTGTTATCTTCATCATTTTGTTTAGGATGCCATCAAGTTTGCAGGCCTTTTAAGTTTCAATGACTTGATTTTGTCCTGTAGTTCTTTCAGGGTATTTGGAGAAACCAGACAGTTGTGATAGTATTTAATGGTGCACTCTAGACTATGTTTTTTTTAATTTTTATTTAACCTTTATTTAACTAGGAAAGAAACTCATTGAGATTAAAAATCTATTTTTCAAGAGTGTCCTGGCCGAGACAGGCAGCAGACCTAAACTAGACTTGGTTATTAGAGTACAGCAATGTTTAAGTCCATAGGGTCAAAGAAGTCCACCCAGCACGTTCATACAACAAACAGTGATGAGTGAGGGATTTAAAATAAGTGATGAACCTCAGAGCTCCGTGACACACAGTGTCCAGAGCATGTAAGCTTTGTGAGGAGGCGTGCATGTGTAGTTTATCTTGTATTTGTTTTTGTTCTATATTCTGCTGTATTGGGCCAAAAAGGTTAAAAGTGTTTTTTTCCAATGTCTCAATTTTGGATGGGTAGGTCCTTGTGTTGTTTGTTTAGAATTTGGCATGCTGGAGAAGGTCTTGATTGTCTCATGGTGGTCTGTCTGAGGGTGTCAGATTCTCATTCTGTCCTTAAAGTCTCCACACACTGGGTGATGTAGGCAGCACACAGCTGATGGTTAGACAGAAAGCTGATGGTTAAACAGGAAGCTGATGGTTAGACAGAAAGCTGATGGTTAAACAGGAAGCTGAAGCTGATGGTTAGACAGGAAGCTGATGGTTAAACAGGAAGCTGATGGTTAAACAGGAAGCTGATGGTTAGACAGAAAGCTGATGGTTAAACAGAAAGCTGATGGTTAAACAGGAAGCTGATGGTTAGACAGAAAGCTGATGGTTAAACAGGAAGCTGAAGCTGATGGTTAGACAGGAAGCTGATGGTTAAACAGGAAGCTGATGGTTAAACAGGAAGCTGATGGTTAGACAGGAAGCTGATGGTTAGACAGGAAGCTGATGGTTAAACAGGAAGCTGATGGTTAGACAGGAAGCTGATGGTTAAACAGGAAGCTGATGGTTAAACAGGAAGCTGATAGAAGAACCTGTTACAAAAAAAGGTTGTGCAAACCTCAAGTTGATAATCTTAATACCTATCACATCACATCACATCATAGTTTATTGCTGGCTACACTCTAACTTCAACTGTAACTTAATTCTCCCCTCATGTGTCCAGGCGGAGAGTTTTGAAAATCTCTGGAGGTATTGAGGAGGTGGGCAGCTTGAGGTGGGAACTGGCCCTGTGTCTCATCCTGAGCTGGGTCATCTGCTACTTCTGTGTTTGGAAGGGCATCAAGTCAACAGGAAAGGTAGGCTGCAAAAACACTTTACAGCATGCATAAATGTTCCATGTTTTTGGAACAACTTCTCAAAAAGGCATATCAGCTAGAGATTTGTTTTACAAGACTAGTTCAATTCATAGCTTTCACGTGACGTCACACTCTAATGGAACTGCCTACCTGGAGGGCAAGAAAGGCTCTCGACCACTGTACGCTACTGAGAAGTTTGCATTTGCATTAAGCATTGTATCAGTAGTAAGCAAGTATTTTTGAATGGCCGTGCATCTAGCCCTCATTTCCCCCTGAGACTGGAAAGTTCTGTATTTCTAAGTCTGAAAATCTGTTGAGCAAATGGCCTTATGTGTTGAAGTATGTCTGTAAATGTTTTTATTACTTTATTGTATATTTTGGAGAAACTGTAACTATCGAATTCCCCTCTGGGATTTCTGATTCTGATTCTGAAATTGAGGACCCTAGTGGGAGTGGCCTGCGGTGCTGTGCATTCTGGGATTTGGTGTCTTTCATCCACAAAAAGACACTTTCTGCCTTTTCTCGGCCAAGAAGGCACCAACTTTTTAAAAAAATGTCACATTTCTACTACATATATGACCCAATGACAATACAGATTCACGTTTCAATGGGTGAAGTATCCCTTTAAATGATGATGAGGAATTTCTTGCCCTTCACTTCTTAAACAGCAGCATTATCGACCCAGACCGATCAATAATACATAAAGCTGCCTGTATGTTTGTAGACTTTCATCCTGCAAGGAGAGGGGTCACCGAAGTGACGTTCTGGTGTTACGGTGAAAAGCGTGACCATGTTAACCGATGACTTTCAGAAACACTCGACTGAAAGTGTCCTAACAAATGCCTCTTTGTTCCGTTTTTGTATTATTATTATCATGTCAAAATTACTTATGAGATATGTTTTAATGAAAGTTAAACAAATAGGCTTTCGTTAGGAGACGTAACGTACGACAACCAGACTCACTCGGCTGACAGTCACCAGTTAACATGGTAACTCTTTTAACCATGACACCGGCACAGACTTTGCCGACTTTACAGATATAGAAGATAAAAGATAGATAGAATCTTTATTATCATTGTATACAAGGACACAACAAAACTTCGTTAGCAGCAATCCTAAACAGCAGCGTTTACAAAAACAACAACAAAAAGGGCAAGAGACGGCAAGTGGCCCTCTCTGAGGGATGGGAGAGGGGAGCCAACAATCCACTGAGCTGTTTTGACGATCCGCTGAAGATTCTTCTGCTCGAGTACCAGACCGTACAGCCGTACGTCAGGATGCTCTCGATTGTGCAGCAGTAAAAGTTCTAAAGCAGATCGCAAGGAAGTCTGTTGCACCTCAGGGTCCTCAGGAAGAAGAGGCGTTGCTGTGCCTTCTTTACCAGGTGTGCTGTGTTGAGGCTCCAGCTCAGGACCACTGAGATGTGCACTCCCAGGAACTTAAAGCTGGAGACACATTCCACATCTTCCTGGTTTTTTGTGCAGACTGTTGTGGGGTGTTTTTTGTTTTTTCCTGTAGTCAATTATTATCTCCTTGGTTTTCTTCGTGTTCAGGTGCAGGTTGTTGCTTTTACACCACCCAGAGAATGTTTGGACCTGCTCTCTGTAGGCCGCCTCGTTGTTGTTGGAGATCAGTCCTACAATGGTGGTGTCGTCTACAAATTTGAAGAAGGTGTTGGAGCTGTGGGTGGGTGTGCAGTCGTGGGACTGAGGACGCAGCCCTGGGGTACACCGGTGTTGAGGATGATGGTGGAGGAGATGTTGTCTCCCAGCCTGACATGTCTGTGATATTCCTGATACCTTTTCACATGGAGCGGGGTTTGTTGTCTTTGAAGTTGGCCTCAATCTGCTGTTTGTATTGTAATCTAGCAGTTTTGATGCCCCTGTTTAAGTCTGCTCTTCCTCTGCTGTATGCTTCCCTGTCCCTTGATCTGAATGCTGCATCCCTGGCTTTGAGCAGCACTCGCACGCTGTTGTTGAACCAGGGTTAGTGTCCCGTGTGCTGTTTAAGTATCGCAAGTGCCCCAAACTCAAAGTTTATCTTAATATCTTAGTTTTGCTATGGTTGTCAGGTGATGTAAACATGTGTCGTTTATAGGAGATGTTAAATTAAAAGCCTGTGCTGCAGTTCTACAGGCTTTTCAACGGTGGCCGTTACTTTCCTGAGCGTTTTTTGCCCTCCAGCCCTCCGCGCTCGTGATGTCACTGAAAGCTATGAATTAAGCTAATGCCTGGTTGAATTCTTATTTCTCAAGCTCAACCTCTTCAAGATTTCAGCTCACACTCATCCAGACAAGCTCTGTAGATACTAATTGCAAATGAGATTATAGCTTGGAAAAATTAATACATTCACTGTACTTAACTTACCCCTATCACCAAATCCCTTAAACGTAAATTGTAGGCTACATAGGTTAATAAATAGGATATTTGTTCTCACTGGCATCCCACACATTAACTGTTGTGCTGGTTGCAATGCATGGCACCAGACAGAGGCCCAGCTAACAGTTACTGATGAATGGTTGCTGCAATGGTTGCACACACATTATCACAATTAAAGGTCTGCAAATCCATGTTTTTAGGTATATTTTTGTGAAATTGCTTTAAAAAAAATATCCAAATGTACTCGGGAATTATATTTGGAATAAATATTGCAACTGAAAAAAAGCCAAGGCTGAAAGCTTGATTGACTTGACCTGCGATAGCCTCACAAGCCACTGGATCAACGTGTTGTCGGCTCACGGTTTAAGACAAATGCATGTGTGTGTTATTGCTATTTCTACATTGTGGCTGCAAGGGTTTCAATTCTAGATTTAGAGTCATACATTCTTGTTCAAATGTGATTGTTTAAGGGTCCGGTAGGGTTAACTTAACATTGCAAAAGTTCTGTTTTGTGTCTGTTAGTACGATACGGAAGTAGTCTGACATTTTTATAATAATAATATCAGTCGTGTGTGACCTTTCTCCTCTCAGGCAGCTTACTTCACAGCCACCTTTCCCTACGTTATGCTGTTGGTTCTGCTCATACGCGGCGTTACCTTACCCGGGGCAATGGATGGAATCATTTATTACCTCTACCCTGATATCTCTCGCCTTTCAGATCCCCAGGTACAAAAAAACCTCAAACACAATCTATGGAGCTGAATACAGAGCTGTGCACATAAACACATATTTGTCCGACCTTTTCAGGTGTGGATGGATGCTGGCACTCAGATTTTCTTCTCTTATGCGATTGGCCTTGGGTTTCTAACCTCCCTTGGGAGCTATAACACGTACAACAATGACTGTTACAAGTAAGTCATTTCAGTGTTTTCTTTGGCAGACTGCTGACCTTTAAATATTTACAAGAAATGTATAAAATAAAAAGAGTTCATATCTCTGCAAAAATACATGTCCAAAGATCTTAAAGTGCTTGAAAAGTTTTGTTTTTTTTCCTTTCAGGGATTGCTTCTACTTGTGTTTACTGAACAGTGCCACCAGCATTGTGGCAGGCTTTGCCGTTTTCTCTATTTTGGGTTTTATGACCTACGAACAAGGAGTGGATATATCTGAAGTAGCCCAATCAGGCAAGAACTGATTGATAATCACCATGCTTAAAATCTTAAAATATGCATCGAAATGTTCAGTGAATTGAATACGTCATTTGCTTTAGTGTAATTGAATGTGAACAATATAGCTTTTAAATTCTGTGTGTGTGTGTGTGTGTGTGTGTGTGCATAGGTCCAGGTTTGGCATTCATTGCCTTCCCACGAGCTGTAACCATGATGCCCATGCCTCAAGTGTGGTCGGTGTGTTTCTTCCTCATGATCATTCTGCTTGGATTGGACAGTCAGGTACCAGCTAAAGCTCTCCTAAAAGTAAATGAGTGTTTAAATGAATTAAAAAGTTTCTGACTCTCTTTCCCTCCCTTTGGTTCCTTCCAGTTTGTTGGTCTTGAGTGCCTGATGACATCACTGGTTGATCTGTTCCCGACACATCTGCGCAAGGGCTGCAGACGTGAGCTCGTTCTGCTCGCTATCTGCAGTACCTGCTGTCTGCTGGGATTCACTCTGGTCACAGAAGTGAGTACAGTGCATGCCGAGCTGGACATTTAACAAAAAAAACAACAATAATGTAGTGCTAAATGTGCTTTAGAAACTCAATTTTATCTCTGTTACTGAGCAGAACGTATGCTGATATGTACATGTTGGTTATGCTGTGGGATCTTTTTCTGATGAAAATAATTTGTGACCTTGTTTAAAGGGAGGTTTGTACCTGCTTCAGCTGCTCGACCATCATGTCTGCAGCGGCACCACCCTGCTCCTGCTCTCCCTCAGCCAGTCTGTTAGCATTGCCTGGGTGTACGGTGAGTCATAGACAATACAGCCAACTATTTAAAGACCATTTCCTTGATATGAAAGATTTAAAAAAGGCACTGTCAGATTATGAGAAATGGGGTTGCTAGTATTTGCAACAAACCAGTGCTTGATGTTTGGTCTGCTAAGAAATGCTTCAGAAATACCAGATCAAACATGCCTTCTTCCATTTCCTAAAGGTGCTGACCGTTTCTATGGCAACATAACACACATGATTGGCTATCGTCCATCTCCATTTATGAAGTACTGTTGGAGCTACATCACTCCCTTGTTCTGCTTAGTAGGTTTTCAGTCCTTTTCATTCACAATCAAATGATGGATTTGTTTATTTCATGTGTTGCTTTCCGGGTCCGGCATGTGACAACCCCTCACTTTTCATATGTAATGCTTTCTATCTGCTATTTTAAAGCCCAGTATGTTTTAACTAGTAAATTAAGGGGTTTGTTTCAGATACCTTTTGTCTGTTGAGTTTCACAATCATGTAATAACGTTTTTCTTGCATTGTCTACTCCAATCATAGGGCACATTCATATTCTCTATCGTCAAATATTCCCCGTTGAAGCTCAGTAAGGCCTATGTTTATCCCCTCTGGGCAAACATCTTGGGCTGGTTCATCGCAAGTGTCTCCCTGTCCCTCATCCCACTTTTTGTGTTATATCAAGTAATGCAGGGGGAAGGCACTCTGCGACAGGTGAGCACAATCTTCTCGTTTTTCTCTTGATTTTTGAAATATTTGCCTTAATGCAACTTATTGAGTTTGAAATCCCGGTGAGGCGCATCAAGAGGCATAATATAATATATAATAATATGATAATAAAAAATCTGCTGGGAAACTTGTGTGACACATATTTGTGTAGAGAATGAACAATCAAGGTGACAGCACACACCCTTGTTGTGAGTGTGGTTGAAGATCAGTCCATTAAAGAGGACATAATTATCCCCCTTTTCTACCTTTTAAAACAGTCCCCTGTGGTCTACATGAAACACCTGTGCAAAATATACCATGAATCAAGCACTAGAGGAGGTTTGTGACCCTGTATAAACCAGCTGTCTCAGAGCGCTCTGTTTTAAATGTAATGAGCCCCCACTGAGTTTTCACGGTAGACATCATAACTTTATTATACATAATAATATTGTATGGTCACTCATTAAGAAAGCTCAGACTTACAGATGTTAGGCCGGTAATTATTAGCCAAGAGCACACAGGCTACAATGGGCAGTAACACAGCAGAAGTCATCTTCACCTCCTGTTCTCATTCCCTTAACTTGAACTCATTTAAGTTTTAAAAAAAAATCTTTGGCCAGGCGGAACAAAACCCTGTTTGATGCCTCACAAGCTACCTAAGACAGAGGTTGAGAAAGAATGGTTTACCGATAATGTTCCAGTTACCCGAACTTTCTGCAGCTCTTAAGGTTTTTCCAACAGAAGTTGAATTTAAATCTTTGTATATGTTTTATACCTTTATGAACACATTGGTGAAGAAATTGCTCCTGGCACCTGCAAACCATTAAAGTTTGTTTTGTTCCCAGCTACGTTTGAAATGTAATTTCCCTCTGGTGTTCTTTCATTCTCAGAGATTATGGGTGCTCTGCCAGCCTGTGGACGACCTCCTTGGGCTTCCAACGCTGGAAGACAGTGGCACCACTGCCCACACCGAGCTCAAACCATTATCCCACAGAAGCGAAATCACGCCATGAACACAGGCAGGTTGTTATGCTGAGAGATGTTTTATAAACAAGGGTGGGATTTCCTTGGGCCAAAATCCTCAGACTTCCAAGGATTTCAAACAGGCAACCTTGCGGTAAAACAGTTCTTGCCCCCAAAAAAAGAAAACCTCATTTATAAAGTTTTATGGCCTATCCTTGGGAGGCCAAATTGGCCCTAAAACAACTTGACACTGACCCAAATAAACCACAGAAAAACAATTAAAACCACTAAATCCATGGAATTTAATCACAGTCTTCCAAGTTACCAAGCCATCTCATCCACATTGCCAACAGGCAACAAATCTTAACTCAACAAACACTCAAAATCCCACGCTGAGACGCACGAATGCATTTCATTTACCCAATTCTTTTTTTTTTTTACTCCTTGTAGTTACGAGATCTTTTTCATAATGACCTGGATCCCATCTCTGGGGCTGTTTACGAAACCGCCTACTATTCTAGTAGTACGTACTGATTCGGCCAAAATGCATTATGCAGTATGTGAACAAAAGCAAGATCTGCAGTACACCAAAAATAACCAGATGTGGTAATGATTCGGAAAGAAAGTACAGTTTACATCAGGCCAGTCCGGTGTACCGTTTCCCACGATTCAAAGCACCAGCAATGAGCATTGTGACAGGGGAAATAATCACTACCTATGTATTGTATGCAATACTACATACTGCATACTACATTCCATATGGTTTTTCGAAAATTCAGTAATGTTACCATGGATTGGACAGTATGGACATGGATGGCTCAAAGGAGATGTTTTTATTTCTTCCTCTTTATGACACCGTGAGGAATATGAGCGGTGCTTGAGCCTGAGGATGTAACTCAGTCTGGCAACACTCCACAAGTCGTTAGGATTATTCAAGCCCAAATCTGAGTCTGATGTGCTGGAAGTTGCTCTCTTGCAGAAACAGTTATAAATATGTACAACAGTACAAATATGCAATGCTTCATGGTTAATGGTTAGTGTGTAAGAAATGCCACAGAAAACTGATCCTCAAGAAGTACAGCTGAGTCAGAACATTTTCTTGCTACTTTGTTGTCGACAAATTACTGCACACTAGTCAAAGTATAACTTTGATCAAAGGTATTTAGAACACCTGAGGCTGAGTGACCACATTTATGTCCTGTTGCACTCTTTATGGACACTGCCTCTTGTCCAATCAAGTGACTAGACTGGAAATAGATATTGTTGTTTCATTTAGAACATTAAGGTACTGGCTATATTATATAAACCCTTTCACTCAGTGATATTTCAAACTTTTTTTCTCATAATGCTTCAGTATATTTGTATCTTTTAATCAAGTACCACATGTATGCAAACTGGTGCTTTCAATGTCCTTATACAGTAGAATGTACTCTAACAAGTGCCTTATAACATTTCACTGTACTATACAGCAATGTAACTGTAAGTTTGTATTCCTTCAACAGAATAAACATTTAGTCTTTTATAATGGACTGGTCAATAACTCATGTTTGTCATCATTTATACAGGAACTTGGTATTTTATCATGTATTTTAGAGTAGTGTTATATGTTGCATTGTGTCTATGACCTGTATACAAACAATCAATTGTCAAATAAAAAAGGAGTTTTTTTTCCTGAAAGTTTTTTGCTGTCTCAATGAAACCAGCTAACAGACACAACAATTACTTTAAAGTTTCCTCCAATTATTTGACATCATATAAACCATCGTCATAACGAAATGAAGAAAAATTGTTCACTTGTGTGTCAGGGATCTGTTTTCTCTTGTAGTGTGTGCGTGTGTGTCAGTACCATCAACAAAAACTGCCTATTTGCTCACTATTGAAGACAGCCTGAAGAAAATTGAGCAGGTCTGCTTCATAGACTCTCAAAACCAGCATGTTCAGGTGTGCTGCATTAGAGTCCTCCCTGACTCCACCCACATCTACCTGAGACTAGGGCCGGATCTGAATTGCCAAGTACATACTCAATCTTTCAGTAGGCAGTATGCAGTATGCAGTACCTACTACTCGTGCTACATACTGTTAGTACCTACTATTCAGTATGCACACACAGTAGGCAGATATTTGTCCCTACTTCGTCTGATTCATTCAGTATGGAAGTGACGTCATTTACGTTTCCCGAACCGGCCGCATTCACCATAGACTGTAAAGGCATTCACCCGTTTTTTTTATTTTTTATTTTTTTTAGCTTTATTCAAGAAGAGTAATGCGCACATACAGTCAGGTAAACAAAAAACAATATTACAATGTAAATCAAGTAAAAGGCAGATTAAATAACTAAATAACATACAGTACATAAAGAAAAGTACAAACGAAAGACAGTAATATACAGAATATAAAATAAACCAAATAAAGACGCATTTAAATAGTGAAATCATTATTTAAATAGAGGGGGAAAGGTTTTATAATAATGCAGACATTTGTTATATTTTCTGTCGTTAATTAAAAGTAATGATTTCAGTCGGTACTTTAACTCTAGATTAAAAATGTATTAAATTAATCCACGCTCGTTTGTTTTGATTTGGAGGCGGACGTGAAGTGACGATTTACGTTTAATTTCGCACAGCATTGTGGGTGGTAAAATACAATTAATTTCCTGAAAGCACGCATCCGATCCATACTGCATGAAACCCGGAAGTTAGTATCCATACTGAAATGTTCAGTATACTGCGCGGACCCAAAAAATGCATACTGAATGACCACGAAAGTTCAGTATACTGAAACTCCATACTGAATAGTACGTACTGCATACTGAACTGTGACAATTCGTAAAGGGCCAAGAACACATCCAGCAAAGAGAACAAACAGAAAGAGGCCAACCTTTAGGCCGACACACTCCCCCTATAAATCAAGGGTTCTACCCTGGACAAAGACATTAATTAAATAAAACATATTCACCTCAGACTACAAACCTCAACTATTACCATCACAAACTTATTTCAGAAAGTGCAGAGAGACAGAGAGAGTGCTTGCCCTGATCTTGATTCTGGAATGCATATTTACAGGCTTCACCAAACTTTGCATAATTTAAAATACAACTACAAAGACTTTAGATCACAAACAAGCACGTGTCATACATTATCATGTTTTAAGATGTTTGACACAATAGGAGCTATAGCTTTTACTGCTGGCTGTGCATCAAATTGACCCTCTGAAGATACCTTGAACCTTGAACCATCTGACAAGTTGAATAACTGCAGAACTTAACCTGTTTAAAGAGGCGTTATAAATGACACATCTGGATTGGACATCATTTCACCCACAGCAGCAGGACATGGGCTTCTCATCACAGCCTCTCAGTTTGGGGTTTGTTCCAGTTCCTAAAAAAAACAAAGATGATGACCTTGGAGGATATAATGATCTCAGATTTGAAGTTGAATGATGGAAGCCATTACATGTGAAAGTCATCGAGACGTGCAAGCTGGTGCAATGGTGCAACTTTTGTAAATGCCATTGGGACACATATGGTGGTGTTATTGCAATAAAAGATGCCATTTATAAATGTCATGGTGCAGCTTGTATCTCCATATTAACCAAGCTTTACATTCCAGACAATCTTTAAATTCACTATGCCTCCCTTCCTCTCCCTGTGATGGATGGTCTTTCTCTTAGTTCACAAAGAAGTTGACTCTGCCTGCATGCCGTCTTTCTTTCCCATTTTGACATTCTCCTGCTCTTCCAACTTCTACCTCCGCATTTTTGCAGGAAATCTCCAGCTCAACTGATTTGATCTGAGTCCAGCCTAGGGTTCATTTTCCTTAGCGAAATCTGAAAATGATGTAGTAATACAGATTTAGATAACAAACGATAATCCTCAATAATGGATTTCCAGATTGTTTTTATTTTTGTTGAAGGTAAATGATCTTTCTTTGGCATCTGGTTATGAAAGTTACACACAAGAATGAACTGAAAGCAGTTGAGGGGAAACACATCGCGTAAGAGGTCACTGCTGGTTGATTCTTAACAATGGCATTTCTCAATAATATCTGAAATTCAATTACTTCTTGTATTCATGCTATTTTTTTCTTATCTATCTAGGAAAGTGATGCCATCTGAGATTTATAACCAAACAATTTCCTTTGCTTCTTACGTTTGTTCTTCAAGTGGTCAACACAAACAGTCTACTGACAAACACATGCTGAGCAGAGTCAGAGAGAGAGAGAGAGAGACATGGTCTGCTGCGTTGTCCATATGTTCCACATCTCAGACCAACTTGCCAGAGTCCGACAGTTTCTCTCTCAAGCCAATGCAGAGACACTTATTCTTGCTTTTATCACCTGTAGAATTGAATACTACAATGCTCATCTTTCTGGTCTTCTGAAAAAAATAATATTTCTCAGTTGCAGCTTCTCCAAAATTCAGCTGCAAGACTGCTGACGAAGACCAGAAAGAGAGCACACATTACACCGATTGTAAAGTCTCTGCATTTGCTACCCGTTTGTTTTAGAATTGGTTTTAAGATTATTTTATTGGTTTTTAAAGCTCTTAATGGTCTTGCTCCCACCTATTTATCCCATTTGCTTTTAACTTATGAGCCCACCAGAGCCCTCAGGTCTTCTGGAAGTGGTCTTTTAGTTGTTCTAAATGTCTAAACTACAAACCTACAGTGAGGCATCTTTTTATTACAATGGCCCCTGTCTGTGGAACAATTTACCTGGAGACCTGAGGGCAAAACACAATGGAAACGTTTTTAAACGCAAACTCAAGGCCTACCTTTTAGTCTAGCTTTAACTGAATCTCATTTTATCCAGGTTTATTACATTTTTAACCTCCTGTGTTTCCTCATTAAGAATTAATGAAAGTGTTTCCTCAGTCCGTAAGTACATGCTTTTATCTATTTATTTACCTTATTTTTTGGATTGTAAGGTGGGGGTGGGGGAGGGAGTCATGTTGTTGCTGTTTGATTTATGTTGATGTAAAAGCACTTTGAGATACATTGTTGTATGACAAGTGCTATACAAATAAAGTTTGATTGATTGATTGATGTTATGTACAGTGCTTTTATATGAAAAAAGGTGCGATACACATGCTTTTACTTATAACGGATAAAATATATGGCAAGCAGTGTCCAGGGAAAAGTGATTTAAGGAGCTTTTGGTATCAGTCTGTGATCATTGCATGATCATTATCAAAAGTAAAAATAAAATAAAATCATTTGTAATTAGGCAATTAGCATTTGTAGTAAAACTCCAAGACACAAAACTCCAAAACCAATCCAACAACACAACAAGCAGAAAAGATTAACATTTGCTTATGTCACGTTCCTGACATAAGTAACTGTTGCACTGAACTCCTGCTTCTTTGTATGTGACGTGATAAAAAAAATTACTAGAAGAATTTGGGAAAGGATGGCGGCTCCCTTGCCTCTTGTTGGGACTAGACAAATATAAAATCTTATTTGGTTTGGCATGTCCTTTCATCCGTTGGAAGGAGGCAGAGGGGAATACGTAACTCTAGTTCATTGTTGTGGATATTGCTGATCCTATTTCTGCTCTATTGTTCACATGACTTTTAGTTAACTTTGAAATGTAATTTGAATGTTATATAAGCGATTTCTTCTATTCATTTAATACAACATATTCAATGTTTGTACTAAACCTGAAAAGGATGTGGTTTGTGCATGTATACATGTACAGTATGTTTGACACACATTTACTTACGGACACAAACTAGATCATATAAAGAAATATGTATGATACTTCAGGGCCAAATTCTGGCAAAATCTATGATCTGAGTATGAACTTCTATAGACATCTTTTAATTTACGCAATATAAAAGAACAGATATGGTGTGTGATTACTTACCCATCAGAACTCATCATTATTTCACATCTTTGATTTTACTAAATGTGCTGTGAACACTCGCTGTTCAACTACAGGGTAATAAGATCCAATTCAATTTTCCTCATCACGTGGATAAAGTTTCCACTTGAAATTACAATAAGATCTTTGACAAGTTTTTCCTTTTGTATGAAATAACAAGCATACAAAGGTATACCCAAGTGGCAATCTGAGGACTGACCCGCAGCTCTAGCCACTCGTAGCGATTCTGTTACTGACAATAGTTTCAGTAGAGTGGCCCCACTTAAAGCCAGACTGATTTTGTCAAACAGATCATTTCTGGAAAGAAACTCAGAGACTTGATAAAAGCTTGAGTATTTTTGACAGAAAGGGCAGAAGTGAAACCGGTCTGCAGTTTTCGACCTGGCCTAGGTTAAGTGTTTTTTTGAGCAGAGAGGTGACCCGAGCTTCCTTGAATGCAGTGGGGAACACACCTGTTGACAGAGAGCAGTTGATGATATGCATCAGTGCAGCATTGAGTGTAGAATAAATGATCTGCAGGAGGCTTGATGGTATATTAGGACCAGAGGACAGGTGGTGGGTTGAGTTTAAGCTTAGAGACTTTATCCTCGGTCAGAGGGGGGAATGAAGTGCCTTTGGGTTGAGTTGGTCAGGCTCAGAAAACTTGCAACCTTTTTTTAAGTTTGAAATGGTAATAGGTTGGCTGGTCTAGAGGGTTCGACTCACTTTTGGGGCTTGCCTCAATTGGTCATTTAAGGAAATGCAGTTTTAGCGCATCTCTACGTTGAATTTAATCGGCATCACCAAAGGTTGTGCTTGTGAAAAAATACAATAAAACCCACTTTGTATCAGCAAAGACTGTGAAATTTAAAAAATAATCTGGAAAAAGGAAATACATGAGAAGAGGGACATTTTGATAAGAGTATGAAACCATTAAAAATATCAGGGAGCCACAGAACTTTGCAACAAAAGACACTGTTTATTGATTTCCTTGTTTGCCATTTTGTATAAAAAAAAAAGCACACAACATAACAGTGTAATAATTTAAACACTATAAATAATATACATGGTTTGTAGGACATGTTTTTCTCGGCCTGAAGACAGGAATAAGACACTTACCGGTAGGTTGTAAACTATAAAGACTGAAGGGAAATGAATTTACAGTTATTTTTTACCCTTTACAAAGGTGTCTTCATTCATTTAATTCAAAACTGGTGGTAACATTTTCCATTTTTCATTAAAATCTATATTTATATAACATTTAAAAAACAGTAAGTTTGAATCCCAGGATTTTCTTTTTTAAAGGGACATTTCTGTCATTGTGGCTGTATGTTTAATATCTGAATGTTGTGCACAGTCCAAAACCACTCTGTTTTCACTACTTAAAAATGCTTCTGTACTAAAGTTAAAAAAAAAAAAAAAAAATTCCAGAGAACATTCAATCTTGTTGTAATCAAACTTTTTCTTTCCCTTTTCCCCCGTCCTTCCCAGGATTTCAAAAACTCTGCGAGACAACCAAGGCTTTTAAATCAAAAAGTTTGAAATAGCTGCTAACAGTGTAAAGAAGAAAACTAACAGCTTGGAGAACAATATGTTCACCAGAGAGATGAAAACATTTGAGAGTTAAATCTCATTATCAACGTAAAAACAGAATCAGCAAAGGACCTACACTTTTTCGATTACACAAGGTTATTTCCTTTTAAATCTGATTTAAATTGTTGTTCAATTGGTGAACAATATCATTTCCAGACCACGCTGATACAGCTTTGTGTTTTGCTTCTTCAATTACATTTAGAGAACGTTTTTTTTGACCCTTTAATCTTGTTCCCTTTTTTCAATTAAATGTTGCTGCTGTGCGGAAACATAGTACAGCATGTTCTGCACCTTCTGGTGAAACTTAACAAAGCCAGATCCCACACACCAACCTGCACATGCCAATGTAGACACTTTTAGGGGGAGAACAGATGTGTTTGTGTCGTAGATTTCAACAGATTTATGTATAACTACCAGAATTAAGGCACTGCTGAGGAGTTGTTTGTGTGTATATGTATGTGTGTTAACGCTTGTTCTGTAGGGTTTGTTCAAACTTCAATCCACTTCTGTCAGGCCACAGGGTCTCCTGAACTCCTGCCCTCGCTCATGAATCCACTTGTTCGAGACTGAATAAACAGAAAAAAAAGACACATAAACCAACATGCAGGACAATCCTCCTTCTAGACGGTTTAAGGACGTTTTTAAAGAAAAAGTGAAAAAAAGTCTCTTCTTTGAACATTGGCAGGCTTCAGAGGACAGTACAACATTACAGCACCCCTGCACAGGAACACACAAACAACTGGGTTGGCAAGAACCTTGACTCACCCCATTTACTTCCCACTAAGACAGGACAGGCCGCATGCCTGGTCCGATAGTCCCCCTCCCCACTTTTGAAGAGATTATACCAGAACACTGCTGTCCCCTGTGGAGAGAAGGAACATTCAAATGCAAAACAAAACACAATGAGGACACACACATGTGTCTTCTAGCCTTTTACTTTCGACCTAAACATGTCCTTAAGAGAACTTTAGGTTGCTTGGTAACACAGTTCTTGCCTGACACATTAACCAACTATAACTTATTGCTTAAAAATTCAGCTTTATTCCATTTTAAGTTTGACATTTTTTCTTTTAAAGTGTTTTTATGATGGATTTCAAGAATGATTATTGTGAAAACAGATTTTTTTTTTTTTTGACTGTTAATGTTGGTTTTGTGCGTTTTTGGCACATAAAGTTGTTTGATCCCTTGCAGAAAATATGACGCACATTTATGTTCCTTGATTTGAGGAGGTTAAAACATATATTACGATTTTTTTCCCCCTCTGTTAGAACCTTAAACAGTTATTTTATGTGTAAATTGTGGGGATTTTACTTCAGATTGTTGCTTACATTTGCAAAATGTTGTGTTGGAAATGTACCCTATAGTAATTTAATAAAAATAATTTGAAACCCCACTAATGTTGCAGAAAAAAAGACAACACATTTGAATGCAACTGTACATCTGGAAGAATTACCAAATGGTCTCCTATCCCTTGAAATCTGTTTTCGTCACATTGCTGTTGGATATTCTCATCTTCTGTGTCTAATATCATCCAAGGTGTCCATCAAAGGTCTATTTTAGGCACATTACTGTTTTTCATTAATATGATTTCCCTATGGATCAGGTCATTAGTAGCCATAATGTAAAGTACAATTGTTACGCTGACCCCACAAAGTTTTATGTCCCTTTAAAATCACAACAGTCAAACTAAATTCTGTCTGTGTTGCTGAAGTTAATTGCTGGACCTCTCAAACTCCTTGAACTAAATGAGGATATAACAGAAACTATTGCACTAGCTGCATAAAGTAATAAAACTTTTAATACCAAAGCAAATACATTTTTATAGCGTCTTCACATATATTACCTTTCTAGGCCTGATTGCTGCCCCAAAGTCAGGGAAGACCGTGGCCCCGCCTGCCTCCACATCACTCATCTGAGAAGACAACAAAAGCGCTTAAAGAATCTTAACATATATTTTTAAAAAACAATCCTTAAACATACATAAAATAAAGTGAGACAATATCGTCGCTCTACTTGTCAAAGCATCACTTACTGAACTACAAATCAGAACTTAACTTGACTTAAAACTTCTTCAAAGTCCAGAAATTATCAAAAACATTTTTTTGAGAATATTTTATTTGCATTTTTTTTTTTTTTTTTACAAAAATTGATGAATTAACCTACAAAAAATGAAAATTTCATAAAATTACACAAATAAATGCTCTATGTCTGACAGAAAAAAATAAGATGAACAAAATGAAGTTACACATCTTTACATAAGGCTGAAGCGTGGGAAAGGTGCTATGTGCACTACAGTAATGAACCATTAAAGACAGAAAAATACTTCTCATATGAAGAGAATAAGGATCGACCACTTTGTTAAAAAAAGCAAACACAGATAAGAAAACCTTATTTCACCTAAATGTAATGATCTCTAGTGGCATATAATGAATAATAAAATATTATTAAAATATTCATTTTTCTTTAAGGTTCTTCCTAAGTAAACATGTTTAGTATCATGAGTTTCTGGTTTAGTTTTGTATTTTTATCTATCTGATATTGCTTCTTGTTTTGCCTTTTCTTCCCTTGTGTGTGTTGTTACTGTTATATCCCTGAGTTCCCTGTTGGTCTTCAGTGTGTCTTGTTTTATTTTACCTTTTGCCCTTGTGTGTGTTTACCCATATCAGTTTCTCCTGTCTTGTTTGTCACACCTGGATTTCATTACCCATGTCTATTTAGCCTCCGTGTTCGTTCCCTTCTGGGTCACTTTTTGTCATATAATTATACCTTTTTGTCATACTGTATATCTATGCCTTCCTTGATAACATGAGCCTCTAGCAGATTCCGGTGATCTTTTGTGTTTTGTTCACTGTGTTTGGATGTTGATGGACTTTGAGCCTTTGAAAAATAAGCTCTTGTTTTGCATTAAGCCTTTTTTGTTAAAATAAATCCTTAATTTTGTTATCTGAAATTGAGTACCACTCCTTGTTTTTCCACAAAATGTGCCAGTTCAGGTGTCATAGAAAATATTTAATAGAAGGTTATTATAATACAATTACTTAAATATATATATCTATATAAATATAATAGAATTTACCCAGGCTCAAAGTCCTTCTATACTATTTTAATCAACCGTCCTATATAAGTACCACTGGTGCACATCCACATCATGAAAAAAGAAAGATAGTAAGATATCCATCATCACACTGAATTGAGGGAAAAGAAAAAAACTGAAGTTCATATCATATTCCATTGTTTTCCTCTTTATGGGAATAATTCTATTCTATGTTAGCAGGGTAAAATAAGGAGTGGCTCATTCATCAACATGTTAATGGGGAATGGCCAACAAAACTCTTCACAATGTGTACAAGAACTGATTGACCAAAAACTAACACCTAAAATAATCGTACACTAAAGTTTCTCAGTCATCCTGGACTATGTATACTTTAGCAGTATGATATTTGAGTATCAACTCCCAAAAAATCTGTAGACATATTACAGCCTCTTGCTCCAAAATTCATTAAATAATCTTGGACCTTCATTTATGTTTGTTAACTATACATTACAGACCAAATAACCAACCTAATTAAAGTCAATCAATCCAAGTGCAATATTGAACCAGAGCTTATGCATATGCCCATGAAGCTAAAACATTAAGAATGTTACGTAGTTTTAAGGCAACCTGGTCTCACAGAGATTCGTGAAATGACCACGATCTCTTAACATCAAGTGACAATTCTAATGGAAAGTCAATTGAGGTATTTAAGTCCAGGTGGGGACACACATTTATGGTTTCAAATCCAAAGAAGTCTGTGTTACAATCTGTAATCTTTATTTTCCTTTAGGAAGCAAGATGATGTTGTAACAAAGAAATGCAACACAGAGGTCCAGGAAGGATGAGTGAGGAAAAAAATCAAAGGACTTAAACTCTATAGACTGCTTTCTGTGAGCTGTGTTGAACCAACACTTGAATACATTTCAATCTTTTAACATTTCTCTTTTAACCCCGTGATTTCTAACCACACTTACCAAGTCGTTTTGGAACCAAAGCCTAACCAAACTGTGACCCATTCATGTGTCATGTGTCGAACATGTTAACATCTTTAAAATGTCTTATATTGGTTAGACATACCAAAATTACTTAGTTTAGTCTGAAAAAATATATAGCGGTTTAAAATGTAAACCTGCTACTTCTAAGAATCTTCCAAAGAATGAAGAAGGAAGTCGTCACCAGTGGTCACCATGTATGGAAAGGCCACTTGCTCCTCCCATGTACACTTTGAATTGGGTATTGTCAACCGCCACAAAATGTTAAGAGGTCGTCGTTATTTTACGTATCTCTGCAAGACTCTGACAGTTTCAGGCGACTGCTACAACCAGCCTTCAATCAACGGCGACTGGATGCACGTACTTACGTAGTTCAAAAAAGTTGCCACACGATTTCCAGTGCCTAATCTTTTGAAAGCATCAGGCTCATCTTTCTACGAAGATAAAATTCAAAAATGAAAATACAAGATGAAAAGGCTGCTCACTCGCACACACATGTACTTACGTAGTTTAGGAAGGTAGCAAGTCTATTTCCATCGACCTTGAGGCTGCTGTCAAAAGGGCGCTGCAACAGATGTTTAAACATTTCACTCATCACAAGAAACGACTCGCACTAGGAGCCTGCCACTAAGGGCACTAACTACACTCATATCCATTCATATCTACTCTATAACCTGTGAAAACATGACTGGATTACACGTCTTACAGATTTATAGAATCAAATTGTATTTTTAAAAGCATCGTGATGTTTCTTTAAAGGGTCTCCACAGAGGACAATAATTATACATTTTATTCAAATGACATTGTACATTCTTAACTTTAATAATAAACCCCTGTGGGTTTTTTTTTCATTCAGTACAATACATAGAAAATCACACATTTATATCCTTCTGTAGCAAACATCAGAAAGCTCCACAGATGCACATGGTTAATGCAGCGATGCATCATAACAAATTCATAGCTCAGTTGCCAGATTTAAAACATGCTGTAGATGTAGTGGAACTCATGAACATTTAGAAACCGGATTTCTTGATCAATAAAAGTGCTGCTTCCTAACGCTCACAAACGGTTTGCCTGTCCGAGCGGGATCAAGGAACTCTTACTTGGAAGCTACATTTAGGTAATACTAGGTGAAAAAAATCTATTCAGGACAATTTGTTTTTAAACAGGAACACCTCAGGCAGTGCACTGAGCCTTTGGTTATTTTCTATAATGTTAATGAAAATCACAAGACGCTGGAGTAATTTGAAAAATGGAATGTGAGTTTAACATTTTCAAAAGACAAATATCCTTTTCATTTGTCCTGTATCTAGCTGTACTGCCAAGTTTTGAGAAAATAATATCAGATTTTTGATCAAACAAAAGAACAACACTGGCTCTTCACATCAAGACGTTTTTAAATATGGGAGAAAGTGTTCCATTGAATGTGACAGCTTGCTGGAAGTAAACAGGGTGAAGAAAGGGTTGCCCTTAAGATCATTTATTTTTAATAAACTGTGCTTGGATTAATTGATCACGGGTGTGTGGTTGGATCATAAAACCTGGGAAACTTTCTAGTTACATCAGTGATTGTTAAGGAACAGTAAGGTTCTTTTTAGTCCTTATCATTCTGTTTTGTAAATTTCTTTGGAATGGTTTTCATGGGGAGAATAGAGAATGGGTTTAAGCTGTGTTTATTCTGGGTTGTCAGCTAGTCTTAAACACACCATTCAGAGCGGTGCTGTATAGCTGACCTATCCTTTTGTTTTCCCTGTCGTGAGAACCAGTCCTTTCTTCACTGTCATCTCTTGACCTCTCTGTCACACTTCAGGTTAGGGCTAGCTTTTTGTTGTATTTGTATGTGTAGCTGATGCTAGCTCATAACACTGACACATATGCTATAAAGTTAACTGATCAGGTTTACTTTCACTGTCCAGAGATTTACCTTAAGGATGGAAAGAGAATCAGTGAAGGTTTATCAGTTTACAGCAGAGAAACGCTAACAGCTGTTTTTAGCAATACAATGGATGGAGGAGACAGGATCATTAACCAAGAAGACAAAACAATCAGACAATCAGACATTATACAGAACTCCAGTGATGGGAAAGAGGATGTTCCTTCTTTGAATACCAGCCTACATTGGAATCAAAGGAATTAAAGCAGCAGATATATTTTGGAAACCTTGACACAAAATCACCACATTGATATGACGTTTCACTTTAGTAAGACAGAGATAAGAAGTGTAATCCAGCAAAGCTTGAAAGAAGGGCGAAAGACAAAGTGGAGGTAAGAGAGGATGAGGCAATGGTTCTGAATAATGTAAGGAGACATCAGGAGAAATGAGGAGACAACATTAAGACAAATATTCAGTTGGGCAGGAAGATATAACACAATACAAGAAGATGTGACCTTCACATACAAGAAGACAATTAGGTAAATGTTGTTTCACATGACTATATGTTGCACAGACATTCAGGAGATGATTGTGTTCTTAGTAACTAAGGAAAACAACGTTGAATCAAAGTTTTTGGGGATTTCTTTATCTTTGTAGATTTATGTACTTCAAACATCCCACTAACCCTTTTCACACATACAGAAATCTCCTGAAAAACTCCTGAGATTTGGCTACCCGGAGAGGCTTTAGGCCATGTGTGAATGCAAACAGCCGCATTTTTCGCATGGTCTTTAACCGGAGTTTCTCCGGCCAGACCCCTAGTATTTTATCTGCAGAAAGTCAGAGTGAGCTGATGTCTTAACGTGGCAGCATATACTCCGGAGATTTTTTTTATGTTTATATATTGTCATAATGAAAGTTACTTATTGGAAACGACTCACTACAGGCGCGACTATAGCCTAAATAAAACCACCGGTTTGAATGATTATGATGACGTGGATCTGTCAGTAAAGTTTGATAGTTAGTGAAATAAATTGTGGACGAGACATCAATATGTTCTGCAGGCTTCAATTCACCACTTCGCTGTTTGTGTCGCCAATTGTCCCCTGCCTCCAAAATGAACGTACGCCTGGGTCAGAGTTTGCTTACCGGTGTGGACATTTTACCGTCAGGTTTGTTTTTATAGATCACTAAACTTTGCATGGGAAATGGCGTACGCCAGTTTCAGACCCCGTTTTGTGCGTACGCAACGGTTATAAATGAGACCCCTGGACTTTAGGGGTGAAGCGGGCTTAGGCAAGGTAGGGATTGCCAGTGTGGCCTATTCTAAAATGAGCTCAAGCTCTGTAACTGTTAACCATTATCCTTCCAGGGAGTCAGTATTAGTGCTATAAAAACAAAATTCATATTGTTTATTGTGTATGCTTTTCCTGCCAATGAGAATGCTGATGACTTTCTGAAAAGTACTGCATGTTCAAGCTGTGAACTGTTCTCTTTACTCTTCCATCTTCCTTTTCATCTCAGACTTCTCTGTGCTGGACCATCAGCAGATCTGCGAGATCGTTCTCGCTCTTGCTGGGATATTTCTGCCTCATTCCAGATGCTTGGATCTGGATCTTAGTCCTCTGGGAGATTAATTACTTCTATTTTCCATGTTTAACAGTTCAAGGAGGGGGGTTAATCCTAACAAGCATGACTGCTTGAAGCCACTTGAGAAATAGTTTGGGTTTTGTGTTCTCTGGCAATATATTAAACAAAACATGTCAAATTGAGTTATGTTTTTTTTTTTTGCTCCCACACTTAGTAACTTAATCATAGTAACAGTCATAACGTGAACTCACCCTTGAAAAGTCATAATGTGGCTCGTACTGTCCTCCAACTCCATAATTAGCTACCTGGTGATTGATAGACAAGGTATTTCATTTTTGGTTCTCGGTATTTAACTAAACAAAAACAATATGATTGAATAGGATTGGCACACTAGAGGGAATAACGTATTCTTAAACACATGTGTTATATCATTGTAGGCCTATTTATAATTAGAGTGAATATTGGGCAATTATTATGTAATAGATGCCAAAGTTATGTTGTAATTCAAATACTGTAGTTCTGTGGAACGTTGTGATAACGTTACCTGTAATAACTCGGCAGTGTCTACTGTCAGGCCTGTGAGGTCTTGTATTCTCTGGTTGACTCTGTCAATGACCGGGTCATCCTCAGCTTCCAACCATGCACTATGAAAACAGAATCATATCCATGAGCACACAGTACAGCACACACATGCACACACACTTCAAAAGTAAAAACTGTGCATCTTCTGTGAACCCTCTTTTTTTTATTTTTTAATCTGCTGCAGGTATAATGATTCCATGAAAGGCTTTACCATTTCAATTGATGATGAGCCACTCACATAGTTTTGTTTCAAATAATAAAAGTGTAGTGCTTTTTGTTCAGGGTTACTTTCTGTCATTCCTCGCCTGCTTCTCATTAGTCTTAGTAAAGTCCAAGGAACAATATTTCCCAGATTACCAGAACACTACCAGTGATTTATTGATGCAAATATTTATTTTTTTATTTTTTTATCAGACTGGAAAACTAAACTAAAACAACTTCTTAAATGGCCTATGTTTTGTACAAAGCTCATCATTTCTATTGTTTTGCAATATTCAATGAAAAATACTTCTGGTCCTTCACAGAGACCACAAGCACTGTTGGTTATTGGCAGATTTAATGCAAAAAACACAAAGGTAATTGTTCTGTTTTTTAAACATTAAAGAGAGAACAGAGGAGCCTCACAACAATAGCAACTCAGAAAATGTGAATATTTCAATTTAAAAAAATAAAGAAATAAAAGCAGTTAAGTTGTTAAGAGTACCTTGGTTCACAATGTTATTGGCTTCAATAATAGATAATAAAAACTGATAGATGAACTCCACAGAGGTTACCATGGAAACCTGTCTCTTGAATGTTACCTTTTTGATACTCTGTAGTTGGCTGTGGTCAGGACTCCTGTTTTTGGGTCACGAACAGTCGCTCTGGCAAGCTTTAAGAAACAAAAAAAACACAGGAATTAAAAAAGACAGTGGTTGTCATCAGAACATATTAAAGTACATCCACATGTTGGGCCACAAAAGTCCTCTTATTTTCTGTCCCCCATTATTATTATACTACAAACATTGTTTTACAATTATTACACAGAATTGGCAGATAAATCTCACCCAGGGTGAGTTTTTTTTGGCTCACCCTGGGTTTAGCCAGCGCTTTAATCTTCTCAATCTCTTCGTGTGATAGGAAGTCCAGGTAGCGTACGATGTGAGGGCTGTCCCACTCATCTTCCTCTTTCATTGGCTTCAGTAGGAGATGAGGGTTCCTGTAACCATCCTGGTAGCGACAGAACAAACGGCTGCGCCTCGCTTCATTCTGAAAAATTATTCAGGAAAAACAGAAAATACTTAACATTGATTTCCATCAAGTTTTAAAACAAGCTTGAATTAAAAGAATTGGAATCTGGTTTGTTTTGACTGCCCCCTGCTGTTGAAACCTAGTGTCACATGATGAACAGACGTCGTGAACCTGTGGTTTCTTGAAAATGTTCAGCCTATGATTTCAGAAACACAGGACAAGATGTAGAAAATCCCTTACGTGCAAGCACCTAATAAGAGTGTACCTAGCTGGGGAATGTAGACACAGAAGGGTTTTCAAGTGGGCACCCTCCCTTCTCTCAAGCACCCTTTCTTTCCCTGATGAATCCTCAATCCCAAATGTGATGTAACTTTCCTCCACCCACTCTCTTGTTCTGTGCTCTCTTCACTCAAAGTCATTTCCGGTCCAGGGTTCGTTACCATTAAGACAGTCGATGAGTCCTCTTCCACCGTCACTCTGGGGGTATTCTCTTTTGTTTACTTGACTTAGATACAGCGGGTGTTTCCAACAAGTTTAAGAAACATGGGAAACTATACACATGGGAAGCTAGCCCATGCCCATCCCCATCCCCTATGAGTATGTCTCGAGAGTAAATTGAGCTTCCCCTTGAGGGATTAATAAAGGATATATTCCTCTATCTTGTTCTTGAATAATTTTGCATAGATGGGTAGAAGCATTTCTCTTCTTTAATAGTATTGTTACACCTGTGAAGAAAGTCAACTTTACACCTGATCCCACCTGTCCCCAGCACGACTCCTCTGTCAAACTGAAAAGAGCTCTAGTAAGCAACAATACCTAAAGAACACCTCTGAGTTCTGCAGGGCTTTATAAGAAATTCCTCATGCTTGGTATATGTAGCTAAATATGTGGATATTAGTCTATATCTTCATGCTGGTTTGAGTGAAATAAAACCTTTTCCGCATGGTGAAGGTTAGATTTGTGTCTGTAATTATTAAGATCTTTCGTTTTCGTTAAACTGATTTCTTGATCCATTGCTGAACTGAACGAACTAAAGCCTTGGCTAAAGCAGGTTTATCTTAATTTGACATTAAAATTGGATCCTAACATAGAACTGTGCAGTTATCTTTTCCATCACTTTGTGTCTGTTTTTAATATAGTGTTTTTAGAATCAATCTGATCAGCCTAATATGAATGAAACAGTCTTAAAGTGAGTTGCAATGTACCCTTCATTGATAGCAAGAAGATCAAATAGGAACTTTAGGAAGCAGTGAGTCAAAATGCAAGCACTTAAGATATGAATAAACATTTTTACTGCCTTCACATCAAATCCTTCCCGATTCTCATCATCCCCTTTTTTTCCATTCATGTCTCACCATCTGGAGCCCCTCTCCTCTGCAGAGAGCCTCATAGGCCTCTCTCTCTGGGAGGTGGTCTTTAGGTCGGCTATATGTTCCCAGCTGGATGGGCTCCTCAGAGGCCGGCTGGTATTCCTGGTTCATCTCGCTGAGCTGCTTGGAGAGTAGCCGCTCAAAATAACGGAGGTTCCCTCCTGCCCTCTGGTGGCTGGAGTCTGTCAGTACAAGAACAATGTAGTTGTAGTAGCTTAAATCATAAAGAAGTGGATAACATGAAGAGCTGAAAAGATGCCTTAACAATGATTTGTTTAAAACAGTTTCTTTTGAAAACATATATTCAACCAACTGCCATTTCAAGTAAATAGTCAAGTGGTCTACCCTACCTTTTAAAAAAATCTTCATCACACTTTACTGTCAGAGGGGGAATCCTGATGTACGATTACCTGAGTATCTGCTACTTAAAGGTATACTTCACCTCATTGAAACATGAATCTGTATTGACATTGGGTCATATATGTAGTAGAAATGTGAAATCAATTTTGAAGTTGGTGCCTTCTTGGCCGAGAAAAGGCAGAAAGTGTCTTTTTGGCTCATGCAGATGAAAGACACCAAATCCCAGAATGCACAGCACCGCATGCCACTCCCACTAAGGTCCTCTATTTCAGAATCAGAAATACTTTATTAATCCCAGAGGGAAATTCGATCGTTACAGTTTCTCCAAAATATACAATATAGCAGTAGAAATATAGTAATAAAAACATTTGCAGACATATTAACTTAAACACATAAGACCATTTCCTCAACTGATTGAGAGTTTTTTTCCAGAATTGATCTTGGAAATTCCTGGCAGAAAACAGACTCTATGTCTGTGTCTATAGGCAAACAGTGAGTGCACCGACACTGCACCGCCCCAGCTCGAGCCGGCCCGGGCTCCTCGTCCAGCAATATAGCCGCAAGACGGTTGCTGCCGACAGGCCGGTCTTGTGTCGCAGCGGTGACGGCCCCGGTGGCAAGCACCGGCCAGCAGCCGCAGCAGCCAAAACACAAGACCGGCCTGTCGGCAGCAACCGTCTCGCCACTATATTTATATTTTTTCGCCATTATCAGCTTTCTCCATAGAGCCTGTTAGCATAGCTTCCAAGCAATATGGCGGACGTTAAGTTTCGATTCTGGGAGTGAGTTCCCACCCACTGATCTGTGATAGGTCTGTAGCTTCAGTGATCGAAAATATGAGGAACTAGCGTTGTAGTTTCACTCCGCTAACGCAAAAATCGTAATTTTGCGTCACTGGAAGCTCCTTTTCAGACTTAGAAATACAGATAAAGATATTCTATCTCAGGGGAAAATGAGGGCGGGATGCACGACCATTCAAAAATACTACCAGGTTTCTAATGATACAAAGCTTAATGCAAATGGGTGAAGTATCCCTTTAACAGTTCTAGTCCTTGACGATGTAAAAGGTATTCTTGGGTATTCCTAAGTTTTGCTTCAATAAATGCTTTAAATTCTTCTTCCAGTACAGTGCAGGTCTTTGTGTAGTGTTCAATGCACTTAAGCAGTCACATAGTGGATGGTGGAGAGAGCACTCCCCCTTGTGGCGTTTTGAATAAATCATTTTTAGTGAGGCATGGAGTGGGTGGGGGTGGTGAGTAACATTGAGGTCATTTTCATGTAGGCGTGAAGCTGCCTCATGTAAATATAAAACAACAGGTACAGAGTGTTTTGTAAGTACTGGCTTAGTCAAGGTTCTTTTTGCAGAGTTTGCTGGAGGAAATTAAAACGACCAACCAGTGAGCCCAACCACCTAGACAAGGACAATGTGAGTAACACAAACCAGCGTGTGTCTCCACTGGGTCTCCTCAGGTTTGCTGTCCGTCACCCCTTTTGTACATTATGTACACTAACGAGTGTTGCAGCAATCACAGTTACAGATCAGGGAGGTGTCAGACTGGGCTTCTGACCATTTAATACGAGCAGGTCCAGAGGCTTATAGTGGTCTGCTCAAATCAACCACTTCACCGTGAGTTTAAGCTTTTACCCTCAGATCGTCGTTAAACCAGCAAGTATCCATGTACTCGTTCATAAGGTAATGAGAGTACTTGAGCATTTAGATAACTGTAAATGCCCATCTCTACTCTTTTAATGTGTGCATTATGTTCTTCACTTGCACTGATACCACAAAGTAGGTCCATGTCTACTTCATCTTCTCCCCCTCAGTTCGTTTCACTTATCTAAACAAGTATAGCTCTGAAAAGATGGCCGACTGCTGTCAACACAGCCCTTGGTGCAGAGACCAAAATAACAAAACCACAGGCCGTTACTTCAGATGGTATACACCCTGCTTTTCAGTTTTCTGTAGTGATGAAGAGACAGCCGATGAAGCCATTTAAAGATCATTCATGGTGCGTACACAGGCCGAGTCTATTAATGATAGTATATGTAATGTTAAAAAGTTTACACCCTAATTACAGCTTCTATTTTTGGTCTTTAGACTTGGGTTTTTCTACATCTTACCAATAGCCACGAGCCGCCGTGTCAGCTCAATGGCCCGAGGTAGGTCTCCCATTTGGTAAACTGAGTAGCTGAGGTAATCCAGAATGTCTGCCTTGGAAACCACAGCTTCCTCCCCAGTGTCCAGCTGCTTCAAGGCCTGCTGCAACCACAGCACTGCGTGGTAATAGTCTGCTTCGTTGTACGCAGTCTTTCCCATGTCGAAGCAGTCATCCACCGTCAGCAAGGCGTTGGAGTGCATACCTGAGGAAGGATTTATCCAGTTAAATACTGACCATGCTGTATTATGATTTTGTCTTGAATTTTTTTCATGAACTGTTGACCACATTTTATTCATTATTACTGAAACATGTCTTCAGATCGTTTTAATAACTTCAGTCAGGAACCTAACTGTGTTTACTTTTTTATTCCTACCAACCTTTAATTATTCATTTTGTAGCTTCCGCTAAAAAAGCGGTGTAACATTGCAACAAATGGGGTGCAGATGGCCTAGCGGTTAGGTCATGCTCTTGTATGGGTAGCCTGTACAGATGCTACAGTCCTTTAAGCAGGTGTTCAAGCCCACTTAAAGGACTTAAAAACATGCAACGAAAAACCCTGAGAGGGAGAGAGAGCTCATACAGATGTGAGAGTGAGGGAACGTGCCTTTGCACACAAAGGTGGAGGGACAAGAAACAAAAATTTTATCATCTGTTCATCATCTAAGGTAACTCTGTTTACCAGTTAAGTGCAACCCTGCAGAGCGTTGAATGTGCATATATGTCTGTACATCTGCTGTCATCTTCATTGCTCTGTAAATTGTAAATTATGAGAACTGCTCATAGGCCATGTTTGAACCTTTGGCGTGAAGTGTGAAATGTTCTAAAATCGGTATGAGCTGCTCATATTTCTCTAAGTATGAATGATCTTGAACAGTCGTATAAATTAGTGTTCTTTAACTGCACATTTGATCACTTTGCGGTTTACTAACTTGCTTTGAACTCCATATTCATATTACTGCATTTAGTCTGATTTTTTTATTTTGTTTTAATTTAGATTTTACAGTGATGTTGTCCTTATGCTCATTGTCTTCTGTGTGCTCCTGCTGCAAAACAAATTTCCCCTCGCGGGTCAATAAATAATCTGAATCTGGCTCTCGAGTTTGAATCATAAACCCAAATATTTTCAACACAGACGGGAATAGTAATATCTTTGGCTCTTGCACACATTTGGCCAAATGGGGTTTCCTATCCGCTGCTCAGCACATGTTTTATGTTTTTGGTGTGTTACACTTCTCAACATGGCGCCATTGTACGTGTTGTTTCATGTTTGTTGTGGTTTCTTGTCATTAATCAGTCTCTTGCAATATTTGGACAATTTTCACCTTGCTGCTACACCCCTGCCATGCTTTGAAACAAATTCTTCATTTGCTTCAGCCATGTCTATACGCCTCACGTGTTTAGCCACTTACATCGAACAAGAGAAGCCAAAAGCAGATAGCGCCCTCTGCTGGTAAAAAACAAACAAACTCTATTACAATGCACTTTTTGTCTGATTGAGTTGAGTAGTCTGTTACTTGTATTGATTGTTTTAATTGTATTGTGAGGTATCATTGCATCCTTATTCAAGTGTATCTAGAAGAAACATGACTGATTACTTCAATTACTTATAAAATATAAATACAGCTGGAGAATATTTAAAGTTTTTGACTTTTGTAACTCCTTGTAACTTACACTGCAAACTTGTTAGATCAACACAGCCCTCACTCCTGATGAAGTGAAGACTTGTTAACATGACCTAATTCCACAAAAATGTCAGCTGTAAAAGGTCCAAAACTCCACAGCTTCTTTCACAAAGTGAGTTGTATTTGTATATTCAAACACACCAGCTAAAAGTAAATGGGTGGGTTCCTATAGCCTTCCTCTTTATGTTTTATAAACATACACAGCTCTGCCCTTCTTTATAAAGTAATGTTCTCTCAAATACTTCCTGCACTCTGGTTGATTACCTGGTAGTTTTCCTCTGGAGAAAGCCTCAGAATCCAGTTGGTACGTGTCCTGTAGACGCATCAATGCCTTAGCTGCACCCGTCTCATCCTCTTCATCTGGGAAGTACTGTCTGTGTGTGGACATGTTGGAAATGAAGCCTGGAGAAAAAAGTATTTAAAAAAAGGTTAGGTTGGTCATGTCACGATATAACAGTTGCTAAAAGATTGCGTCACGGCAGATGACACATCTAATAAATTCAAGGATTACAATTAGCATGCAAAGGTTTTGCAACCCATTTTGCAACAACTCTGCAACACAAAGCTTAAACAGAAACGTCTTGGAGCTTAATATGAACCATTCACAAACACTACGTTCACAAACTGTTTCTTCTTTGTTTCTCTCACTAAAACCAAACAACAGGATTTATTGGAAAATAATCTTTGTTAAGTTCTAGTGTGCTGTTAAAAAACAGTGGATGAACACAAAGAGGTGAATGAAGATTATTAACTGAACTTTATCAAAACAAAATATGATGGGAGAACATGGGACACCAGCAACAAACACATTTTTGTGGAATTTAAAGACGTGTACTACTGATTTGATGAAACTCATATTAAACAAAAATAAACAAATCACACCTTTAATTTAAAAAAGATAAAAGTATTAAGTGAAATATGACAACCTCTCTGTGGTGACTAATCTTATTCTTGTCTTGCTGCCTTTACCTTACGTTCTATAAAGTTCTTGGTCTTGTGTCTTTCTGATAATGACTACTAACAAGTTCTGTTTTTAGAGATTTCCTCATGTGCTACCCCTAAATATTTCTCCAATTCCTTAACCCTTCATAACATCAAATATTAGCATCTGCTGCCAAGTTAAGTTTAACATGTAAAAAAATCCAGACTTCAGAGGGTAAGAGCAGATAATTTCTTTGGAATTTTAGATGATTTATTGTGTGGTATTCAGCAGAGCCCTGATCTAGGAGCCAACACTAGTATGGACAGAGGTCTGAATTTCAACTTTTTCTTTCTTGGACATGACATAAAACCAGTATTGTCAAAGCAAACAGAGGAAAAGGATCACCTGCTAATGTTATGTTGTATTATTTCTATCCACATCTTCCTATACTAGCTCACCATGTCCACATATACAGATTCTCTTGTACGACTCTATTCATTCTTAATTTATCTGGCTCACGCAGATATTCCCTCTACGTCCAAACACGCACTGTCTTTCAGCTCCAAACACAAACACACATAAAGAGAACATAGCCAAACTATGCAGAGATAAGGAACATCTGTTGGTTAAACATGACAGTGTCTGTTCTCTTTCTGTTCATTCGGGAGAAAGAGCTTTATAGCAGAGCGGCTCTGCAGTCAAAGCTGTAATCACTCAGCTCAGAATCCATATTTGCAACTTGCTACTCGCTCCGTGCTCGTCCCGAGAGAAGCCTCTGAGGAAAAAGTGGTGAATGCTGCCATTCAGACCCATAATATGATGTGAAGACATATTTGGTTATGTTTGAATTAATTCAGTGTCAAACCAAAGGAAAGAATGAAGGCTAACAGACAGATCAAGTACAGACAGAACTCATCAGGTTCAAATTGTTTTAAGCTGACTGTCACAGACAGACAGTCACAGTGCTATATCTTTGCACAAAATGTATGTGTACACTCCGAGCTATAGCTGCAAGTGGTAAAAAAAACAAAAACACTAATAGATAGGCAAGGAGTCATACATTTAGCAACACTGAGCCCTTTCTGCATTTTGCTCATGAGACGGAGTGGCACAGTTAAATTCCTGTCTTGTTATAATGTTTCCTTTACTTCTTCCTTCCTTACCATCAGACGGGGTCTGAAGCACCAGGGTCTCTAGCTCAGACCACTCTGTGTTGAGTCTCTTCATCAGTTTGTAGGCGTTCACCGGGTGGGCCAGGTAACCCTCTGGGTCAGAGGTGGACACCCTGGTCAGAGCATCAAGTTTGCTGGCCCAGCTAAGAGACAGACAGAAAGACTGATCGAGTGTTGGTTGAAGATTCTGTTACGCACATAAGACATCGACTTATCCCACCAAAATGTAAAGATGTTTTGCTGATGGTGTGAGTGATGTACCTTTTGACAGTGGCAAGCTTCGTCTCCTCTGCTTCTATATATTCCCTCAGAGACTGGACCAACTCCTTTTCAGTGTAGATCAGGTCTGTCATCTGACCTGCAGAGAGGAACAGAAATGTAACCAATGAGGTGTCAGAACCCCCATGTCTCATCATGTTCTCTTCCAGGTAAATAAAAACAAACTGGCTTGAATTTCCCTAAAAAGGAATCGAGAAGTTTGAAAGTTCTGCAAAAATAAAAAACTATTTTAATTTGAAAGATTTAAAGATTCCAGTGAAAGACATTCATTTTTATTAAATCAATCAGGTTGCCTAAAAAAATCAAAAGTATAAATATACTCATTAAAGTTTACTGGCTTCCTCAGCACACCCTACAAGTAAAGCCTTCTTTAATGGAAGAGGAAATACAAGCGTCCCTGTGCACAACACGCTCCTCTCTTCTACCTGTGCTGGTCTGTGGAGTCTGACCCGAATAAAACCATGAGTAGAGTGTGACAAGTTATGTTTGAAAATTGAAGAACATTCAAAAAGGGAGTTAAAGCTATTCTGTGTAGCTTTTTTTTTTTTTTTTTAAAACCTGTATTATTGCTGTGTAGCATTTATTTACAACATTAGGCCTTAATGTGGCAAAGCCAGAAGCATGAAGCTAAAGCAGTATACACTCTTGCCAATTAATTCAACTTTTTCACTTACCAACAGGTGGCAGAAGTGTACAAAAACATAGAAATGTGGAAAGAAAGGGGAAAGAAGAATGCAAGCTAGTTCAAACAACTGTGAAAAGATTCAGAAAACCTGCTTTGCAAGGGTATGAAGGAAAAAATACCATCAACATAATGACTGGACCTCAAGAACACACAGTGACTTTGAGTGAGTGACACTAAATGACAAAATAACTTACAACATACAGTCCACAGGGCACATTCAAAATGTGCCAGGTTGAGAGCTAGCGATGCTGAGTCAGTGTAATTGTAGCTAAAGAAGCCAGACTTGGATTATTATTAATACATTAAGTTGGCATGGCCACATAACTATCAATAAATCATTAAAAGTGTGTTCAGAAGGGAATGTGAAAAAAAAAAGATGTCGTCGCAAAATCTGTAAACTTCTAGATGGAGTTCTCCATTAATGGTTGCCTAATTTATGAGTTCCAGTCTATTTCTTTCAACATGAAAAAATAATTTCAAAGCCTGAAATGAGACATATTTCAATGTCTTCGAATCCCATAGGGGACACATTTTGCTGCTACACTTGTGTTTTGCCGAATAGATGCACTGCTCCAAATACTTTTTAGCAGCTGTGGGTTAACATTCAGAGTTTATCAGATTGGACACAATAAATGTGTATTTTTAGTCTTCTGGGTTCAATATACAGGGGGGGAAAGCATGTTGCTTTTGCTTTATAAAGAGAAATGTGTTAAAGAGACATTCAGAGGAAAACTTAGTCCGACAATGCATCCAACAAAGGCTAATCACACATTTTAATATATCAAAGTTAGAGCAGGAAAAATTATTTATAGGGCTCTTAAAACATACTTATTGAAGTGAAGATCTCCGCCTGCGTTGTCCAGCAGCAGCAGACGAGGAGAGTCCAGAATTTAAAAGACAGAAAGGTCTTCATCCTGAGTCGTGCAGTCACCTGTAATGAAATCACATCATGTCACAGCAAGGAAACACAATCTATGCTTACTTTAATGATATACTTTACTCATGTAGAGAAACAACAGGGTCTCCTTCATGAGATGACAGTATAAAATGTACCTGACTGTATGAAACAAATGGGCAGTTATTTGCCGTTTAAATCAATCGATGGCTAAAGTTAGCTTTTTCTCTAAATCCATTGGAAACTAACTAGAAAACTGCAGCTGTTCCTCTTAATTTCACATTGCATCAATCCTATCCAATTGGCACCACCCTTTGCTTTTATATGGGCAACAAAAAATGCCATCTTATGATTGACCAAGATTGCTTTTCCATCATGAACTGTCCTTTTTTTCTAACTGTACAAATAAATAAATGTTGCGTTACCCTGACTCCAGTGCGTTTCTGAACAGAGTTACATGTGGGTCCAACAATATTCAAAGTTTCCAGTACGTTTCCTATAAAAGATGAGTCACTGATTCCTGTTGGGAGGCATGCTGTCATGGAAGTCCAGTTCTTTAAAAGGGGGGGAAAAGAAGGAATAGTATTTTTGCGCAATGTGATATCTCTTTTAATGCTCTTAATGTTATAAATATTTAGGTTTTTTTTTTACTCTGTAAAGCACTTTGACTTGCTTTTTGTATGAGTGATGCTCTTTAAATAATCTTTCCAGGCCGAGTGTTTCTCAGAACTCTTCTTCTTGCAAACACAACCATCACAACAAAATGTACAAGATGAAAAAGTTACATATGTTAAAGGTAATATGGGCCTTTTTATAATATGTCTTTGTTCTTCTGTGGAGTTCAACATGGCCACCATGTGCCTGATGAAAAAATATTCTTGACTGTTGCCATGACTAAATAAAGACCACAGTGTAATGCAATTGAACACCAGAGCATACACAGCACAACGTTACAAGTGATTCAAACGTATTTGTAATCTCAAATCAAGTACAACAATGTGGCAATGTGCTTGAAATGCTGAAGACATTTGGCTACGGCTGCACGGAATAATCATTTAAATCATTTGTTGATTGTCAGAAAAATAACCGATAACTTGTTTTGATATTTAAACAAAAGGTTTGAGTTCTTCCCTCTCTTCCAGAGTTCAGGAATTTAATTTTGAACCACTTTGTGTCGAATTGTAACTGTTTTAATTGATCTCAGTGGTTTATGTCACTGATTCTGAGTGTTTGTTGTGTTTTTACTTGTCTTACTGTGCTTGTAATCTCGACGGAATTGGAAATGAGGGAAACCTCAGTGTCCTTTCGAGAATAAATAAAGGTTTGGAATTAAATTAAATTAAATATTTAACTATTGGTTGAACTCTTCATAAACAGATCATGCAAATCTGGAAGCAGGGGACACAACCTGGGAACACTACAATTATTATTGTATTATTATGAAAAATGAAGTACTGTGAACATGTTATGTTCACATTAAGCTACGAGACTAATGTGACAACCAATCAGTCAACTTGCATGCAAGAACACTGGCACTCAACATTGTTAACAAGTTAACATTAACACTGGTCTTTATATAGTTTCAGTGGTATGTCTTTTGATTCTTTTATCCTTTTCAGAAGTTGCCTCATTTTCTTCACGCTTTTTTGTCTTGTTAAATCAACGGCACTGGCAAACGGCAAAGAGAGAAGAACTGTCAGTGATGTATCACCTGAACAGATTTGTTAAACAGTGCAGTACTGAGACTAGCTTCCTTTGGGATATTAGGTAGAAAGTAAAACTCCTTTGCTTTCACCTTCAGGATATAGTGTAATCCTGCTTCACCACATCACTTCACAGTGACTTTCTAATCTAAAAACACTTTCAATCATAGCATACCTTCAAACACATGCGTGTTCCTCTGTATGCATCACCCTCTTATCAAAGGCTTAAAGGGAAAGATCTTGTTAACCACAAACCATCCCTTAATTGTTCATGAAGTAATAACTCAGTAAGGATTACCTTAAAAAAAGACATCGTTACACTTACATGACACATACATCCAAGATGATTATGTTGCCAAAATAAGTCATGACAAAGTAACTGCATTGAACAGAAGCAGAGTTTGGGCCTTCAGCCAAGGAGACACTACAACACCAACATTACAAAAAGTGAGTCTGAGTCATCAAAACCTGCAAAAAAATTAAGGACAAAATTTAAATTATTGTGCTTGAAGGACAAACTGTTCCTTAGGGAAAAAAAAACACTAGTATAGTAAGAATTCAGACAAATTGATCCTTTTAAAAAGGCAAACATCAATACAACATTAGTGAAGGGCTGTGAAGTGGCTTAAAAACTCTCAGCAAGTCACTGTGAACTACAGTTTCCCATGTATTTCACTCATGCATGCTCTGAGTGAAAGCCCAGCGTTCTGAGCTAAAATCATGTTGAATTCTTGACTTATAAATCCTTGTTTCTTTTATCAGAAATGATAAAATAAATAGAAAAGGCAGAGAAATGCACAAACATTCTCATCCACAAACTTGTTGTAACCAACAATTTAGGGTGAGAAGAAAGGAAACAAGTCTTACAGGACTTTATTTAAGCCACTTTAAGACTTTACGATTATAGTCTTTCTGCTGGAATGTACCACATTGGGTCTAAGTATATAGGTCAATATTTTTAGAATGGGCTAAAAACCTCAGACAATACATATTTGGTGTTACTTGTTGGAGGATAAGCATCTTATCAATCTTGTCAACACTGAAAGGTTCTACGTGGTGTCTCCTGCACAGTGTGGGAAAACTGTCCTAACTTGTCTGCAAACATTCAATAGTCCACACATGTGAAAACTGACACATCTGACATGAAAAACAAAGCCCTCACAATGTCACTGAATGAATTCAAGCTTCCTTTGACCTATCATGTCTGTCTTTTAAATACATATATATCCTTGATTGGCAAAATCCTTACAAATTGTACAAAAGAATTTAACACAGGAAAATACAGAAAATGGAAAAATCTGAACAGTTTTGCAACATCAACATGACTAAAAGACTGAACACTTATTATTAGTAAGGCATCCATGATCATTGTAATCAGTTAGCTGGGGTCAACATGGGCGTTCCAGTACCATGAGAGCAGGCCAACAGCATTGGAATTATCCATGATGCAAAACCACTCTGGCATTCAAGACATCAATAAACCAACATTATTTGCATCCCAACTTGCATAGCAACTTCCTGAAAGTGACTATAATGCTCTATAAAGACATCTAAAATCTCAGTGAAATGTTCTACTGCAGTAATTCACCTCCCAGTGTGCTACCAAGGAGAGCTAATGATTTATTTAGGGTGTGCCAGCCCAAATAATAACAACCATAGCCCTAAACTACTGAAAAAATTAAAGGACTGATTCCCTCTCCTTGTCATTTACAGCCAAAGCGATTACCCAGCCCAAACACACTCTTGCCTGTTGTTGCAGGCTGTAATACCAGGGCACATTCCTGGAAAGAGGCCTGTTACATTTACTAACCCACGCTGTGAGTCTTCCTGACCTCATCCTGGCTTTTTCTGTCAAATGTAGGAAACAGCACTGGGGAGGGGGCATGACAGGAAATGATATATGACAGGGTCAGGAGGGGACAAGACAAGGCAGCTGTATTTATAACCTATAACCTTATAAAGCTTGTCTTCCCGTGTTATTCACTGTAAATAAACCTGTAGGTCATTAAATAAATGAAGCTTCTTCTCGAGATTCAGCCAATACGGACCCTATACCAGTTGGACAGTCTTTAAAATTGTAATTCTTCATACCAGTCACCTAACTATTAATAAAAAGAAAGAATTGCCATTGTTTGAAGTTATGGCCTGGCAAAGGTTGATCTCTTTGTTTAACATGAACAAACAGGGAATTAAATGCCACAACAGAAAATATTTCTGGGGCAACAAGGTTTTTTTTTTTTGTGCTAAATATGGTATCTATAGGCAGGTGTAATAACCAATTACCCAATCCTATGTTTTATGATTTACTGAAAACATTTCTGGTGCTGCAAAAACTTTAATTGGAGGTCAGAAATGTTTTTAATATTTGATAATTCTGGATTAAGATATAAATCTGGGCTAATAGAAATGTAGCAAACACTGCACATAGTTTACTAAAAAAGAAAAAAGTCAGCTAAAAACACAACACGATTTTTCAAATTCTAATGTAGTGTTTCTAACTGTTTATTTATATCAACTTTTTAAGTTCACAAGTTAGCACTCGTATTCTCTGTTGTAGCACAGTTTTGCCTGGATACAATGACTGCAAAACACAGGAACCTGCCTCTAGCCAGCTGGCTTCAAGTGTATCCAGACTGCATTTTGACATGGAGGTGTGGCTTTGTTGAGGAGATAAGAAAGCAACGCAACGCTCTCTCTGGCAGAGCAGTCAGGATCCAAGGTCTGCAGCGGGGCAGGAACAAACGTTGACCAAGACGGTCAGTTTTTAACAGCTGTACTGTAGCTGTTCTTGTTCTCCTTTTCTGCTGGAGCTAACTCAGCAACATATCCTCAGAGGAAAAAACCTGGCTGGTCTAGCTACAGCTGTCTTGGGTCACACAAGTGCCAGCTGGGGAAGTTGTTAAAATGAATCGTGTTTTTTTTTTACCAGAGAAGGAAAGGATAAAACAAATGTTGTAAAAACTGAACGCAACCATTACAGAAAAGTAAACAAGTACTTATATACTTTCCAGACACTTCCAAAAAATAATTTAATAAGAGATTAGCATCGTCAAGACAACAAACCAAAGAAATAGGCAAATATTGTTGCAAATGACCTTTTTCAAAGCCATTTCCTGTCACAATCCCTTAAACAAAATATATTTAAAAGGGATAATGTGGGATATTCAAACAAAGAAGATAAGAATGAAGAAAACAAGGACAGAGCTTTATCTGTAGCCTGGCATCGAGAATTCAAGATGATCCAACAGATAAAACGTTAACAAATTATTCTCTCTTTGCACCTTTCAGTTATTCCAAGATAAATATGGAATACATTTGAAATCTAATAATGTATTAAGCCATACTTTCAAGCTTATTAAAAAAGTTGTAGTAATTGGCAAACTTAAATGTTAAAACACCCTGGTTGCTGGATTTTCTTGCTTTCTGAGGTAAGTAACAGTTCATATTTTTCCTGCATTACACTTTTGCTTGGAACACTGGATTCCAGCATTTCGATCAAACAGGTAGGGATTATATAAATCAGTTACTTAATAAAAAATGTAGCTGGAGGGATAGAATTTATACAATTAGTATTATTTATAGGTATTTTTCTGGCTGATGTTTATCAGTTAGCAGTTCTGGTATGCACCAATGTAAGCACAGCTGGCATAGATATAATACAGACACATGATGCTAACACCCGTGTACAGGATGTTACAAAGCATACTGCATAATTCTGCAAACACTGTACATGTGAACAGTGCACACAGTATCCACAGGCAGTGAACATGCACAGACAACCCCTGCCTGTCGCTTGAGGAGATTTAACTCTGCACACTAGTAAAGAAACAATTTGAAATTCAGACTTGAAACTTGTCATTACTGCTGCACTGTGCCTTTCAATTTACACGTATGCTAAAACAAGAATAGCTCCTCTTCAATTGGACTTTACACAGCCTAGATTAAAATCAAACTGTGATCGATGACCTCATATTCAAGCTTATCCAGCATCAGACTGACTTTAAACACAGGTCACCCACCGTTTAGGTCAAACGAAGAGCACCAAAGTTTGCTTTGACTTTCACTTCCACTATACATCCCACGAGGGGTGGATAAGGAACATCCATTTTAGAGATAAAGACATTTCACAACTCAAAGACGCAAGCAAACATACTTCTCACAGGCATTTTAGTCTCTCCCTAAACAGAGAAAACGGAAACAAGCACTTCCATCATAATGTAGTCTTTCCAGAAACCAGACATCTAATCTTTTGTTTTGTTTTGTTTATTCTTTGTAAATCTCTCTTGACAAAAGTCTCTGACTACTTTTTTATGAACCGGATACACAAATCTCTACATATGGAAAGGGTAAAAATGTTTTCCAAGTCAAAGTCCAAGATTTCTGCTGACCATGTGTGGGAGTCATAATGGAAAATGTGTTACAGATGCTAATGCAAAACATGTAACCGAAATTACAACTAAAAAAAAGGCTTCTTTTTTTCTTTGAGGGAGAACCATTAAACCATCTGTTAATGTTCTCCCCTGCCCTTGTGTATGACTAAACATCATAACGTGGCAGCAAGACTGTCAGAGCACGAGTAATCTTTTACCAGATTGATGTGTTGCAAACGGGTAAATCTCTGCCTGTTTGAAGGCCTTATGATTGATACCACAGTGTAAATATTTATTTGGTGCAACATGTTTAAACATTTTTTTATCATCAGCCAGGGTTAGAGTTGGATGCATTTGTTTACAATTGAGAGCATATGGACATGGACACTGAGCTACAGGCCCATTCTGTGCTTGAGTACACAACATCCAAAAGCCTTTTATGGTATGTAAACACTGAACACAAATAATGCAGATATAATACAAATTAGATTTACCTGGCAAAGAGGAGGTCAGCAGACAAAGACAGGATATGATGATTTTATAGTGCTCTTAAGATAACTTAATAAAGCAGCTCTATGTTTTCGCTTTATTCAGCAGAGTATCATCCTTTGGAGTGTGCACGTCATCCGCCATTGAGCACAATTCCATCTGACAGATTTATGGCATCCCTCCATTTGTTGCCCTCCATTTATACGCATTTCAATGGCTGCCAGATCCAATTATTGCCATCGTGTTAAATATAAATTGCTGCGGGGCAACACTGACATTTTACGTTTATATAACCCATCACACATGTGTATGAACAAGTGTGTGCAAAGTGACATTGTAAGTAAGGATGTACAAACTCATGAACATTTTGCTGAGTAAGAAGGCTTTTTTATAGCAATGATTTTGAGATACTAATATTCATCTTGGGGATTTAGATATTGTTCGTGGCGCTCACAAATATATAGAATATATTAGAACTACTATTTTGTGTATAAAATTGAAGACGAACACTGGACCTGAAAAGGAGGAATGTTTAAGATTTCCCCCGAAGAAAATCATAGCAACATCTCAATAAATGAGCATACAGTGCCACAGTAACCCTGGATAATCCGCATACTGTTGACACACTTTTTTCAGGACTGTTTGATTTATAAAGATAAAGACAAACTTTAAAAAAATTGCGTTCCAGCAGCTCAAGAAAACAGGAAACAGGAATATAATTATTAAAAATACAAATAGAAGTTAAAAATCAAACATATTTAATTTAAATAAAAAAAACACTATACTATACTTGTGGAAAGAGTTATTGTTATTAAAAACACACACAATGTGTAGCATTATTGATATGAGTCATGAGGTGGTGATGCTGTTAAAGAGTCTGATTAAACAGTCTGACGGCAGATGGGATGAACGACCTGCGGTAGAAGAGAAGTTTTTTTTTTTCATGAAGACTTTCTTTTAATCTAATAACTATGAGCAGTATCAAAAAAACAAAGCGCAGATCCTTCACATAACCATCATCTCCAGCTGGTCAGCACAGCAATCGTTTCAGTGACGTCACCTGCAGCACAGTTGTTTCTAGAAATTCCCAACGCTTCAGCTCTTCTTTGGGTCCTGTGTATAATGTCTGTCCTATCACCTAACAGGCTTCAACAAAACAGTGTGTTTTTTTAAAAAAAAAGGTGTGAAAAAAATAACATCACGTAAGCGCCACCGTCTGAGATGCTCTGTCACAAAAGTTCGCGCAAAGGTTAAAACTTTCTCCCCTTTCGTTTGCTGCGAAACATTGTTAACCACCGCCGTCTTGTGTTACAGTACAACCAACATGTCGGAAATAAACACTCACCTCACGAAAAAGGCACTCACTGTTGCTCTACCTTCTAGCGGGCTATCACAAGGTTTCCAGTGTCTCGTAACACATTTTCACACCGAAGAAAACCTGTTGAACCCAGTTATTGACAACCATCCCAACATGTTCTGTACGCACACTAGCGCAACTGTTCAGCAACCTCCAGGGCTGAAAAGGAGGGATGAGTGTGTGATTATAACGCAATATTTAATGTTATCTTACCTTTATCCTCTTGTGTTTCAATAAGTCACGTCACACGTCAGTATGAGCACGCTATTTGTCTTGGCACCTTTGGGGTTGTGAGCCGGACAAGAGGGGGTTCAGTCGCTGCCACGTACAGAACCTCCCGGAGGAGTGACCGTAATACTCAGAATACATGCACGGCGGACATTCTTTCTGAAGCTTCTTTACGTTTCCCTTACGTGCGCGTCGTAAACCCTGACTTCTAGAGCTTTATGTCGGTCAGTAGACTTCTTGTTTTCAGGGGAAAACAGTACAGCAGTTGTAGTTTCAATCGACTTAAACTTGATTTCGTTGTGAAGAGTTTCCCCAAGCTGTCACTTACAGAACATGTTAAATTTGAGCATATAAGCCTCTGAATAGTTATTATCACTGCCTTAGTTATCACACAGATAACATTCTAGACATAGATTCTGCATTTGACGGTCCTATTGTAATTTGAAATGAAAAAAGTAAGGCTAGCCTATTTATGGATTAATTTTGTATTAATTTAAAGCATTTTCCCCTCCATGTTCTAATCTTTTATGATACTTACGGTAGTGTAAGTACATGCAATCCGTCACGTTTGCAGTTTGGATTTGGGTTTACAGGGCTTGTTCTTTGGATAGAAGGATCTAGAAAAAAACATTTGAACATGGTTTTTCAATGACGTGCTGTTCTTGAAGTCTCTTACTGTTCCTGTTCCTTCCAGTCGCTGATGTTCTTGTCTTTGGTTCAAATGGATTTAATAAGAGAAATGGGGTTTAATTGACACCTTTTAACAGGGGTCAGTGTCAAATGCCTATTTAATGCATTGCAATTTAAATAAACTAGTTGTGACGCAAGGGAGGAATATTTCTTTGCTTTGATAGAGTAAAATATTGATGCATATGTGGCAAGAGGAAGTCCATCTGATGAAATATTCCTTGCGATTACAGTTGGTTTTCTAGCACCCAAGCCTACTTGTATCATCTCTATGATGGATAGCATGTTCAGTTACTCATATAGGCTATAGGGAAAATAACAAACCTCAACTCAATCTCAAACAAATATTTTAGATTATTATATTCGGATTATTTTATTTAAGATTAATTTTTTACAATTATGTCATATTTGATTTTTAATTAAATAACATTCATCTCAAATGGTACATGTTGATTTGGTTTTTGATTAATAGTGAAATGCATAGATTTATACCCATAGACTGTAAATATTACTGGACGAACCCTGACCCGTCTGTTACTGCTGTGAGTTTTGCAAGGTGACACGTTATAGAGTTTGACCAGCAGATGTCGCTGTGTCAATTTAAAGAACCCACACAGGACCCACGAAAAAGAACAACAATTTATTTGTATGGGAAGAAAATTTCACGAAAGACGAGAAGAATACAATCAGGAATACAAAGCAGTATACTGATCTGATAACTGAATAAACATTTTAGGTACTCTGAACTCGACCTAGCTTCCTTACAATAAGATAGTCCCATACGAAAACTCAACTTTCAGAAATGTAAAGTCTTTCAAGTCTTCCTTACAATCCATGCTCCCCTTTTTTAGTTGTTGATGCATTTATTTAATGACACAGTTTCACATAAACATTGCAGCATGTGTAAATTAAACCTGGATTCGCTATAAATTATTATATCAACATACAAAACAAAAATTGTAGCCTATACTTACTATACTTGGCACACTAGGTTTATTAATACAGTTATTTATATTGTCTGGAAACTCTTGACCATTAACAACTCCAGACACATTTAATATTGTGTAACAACTTGATAGCCCTAACCCTAACCCTCTTCTTCACTGCACTGGTTCTAATGAAATCAGAAGAAAATAGGCTACCTCAAAAAGGTCAAAGGTCCTGTGTAGTCTATTCTGTGCTTTGAAAAGTGAGAAAATACTTCAAGGCTTAACTCAATTCAATGATGAAATAATTTTGAAATTTACATTTAATAAACTTATTGTTACCTTGTCATTTTAAACCACTGATTCAGAACTACAGGCTGCACTATCTGTTGATGACCACTAAGTGTCAGCAGTACGCTATGGAATGGATATAGGGAAGATGAACATTATGACTGATATCTGTTAAAATATGTGACAGTTTTTTCCTTTTTAAACTCAGTTCTGGAGCATACAGCCATGTCACTTTTTTTCACAGTCTCTATTTTCTTCTCCCCTTTGAATTTGTTTATTATTTATCAAAATACTTCGTTGGAAACTGAAAATCGTTCTAATTAAACAGTCCGTACATGAATAAATTGCCATTAGTCGAACTGTTCGAACTAGGAAAAAATGCCACAAGTGCAAGTACAGTTCTGTAACTGTGGCAAATGTTAGTGCTCATGAAGGAGTAATGTTAGTTCTTTGTAGATAATATAACAAAGAGTGAAGTCTTTTACCTGCTTTTTGTAAAGTGTCTTGAGATAACATGATGAATAATGTATACAAATAGAGATTGTTTGATTGATTGATGGTTCTAGAGCATCACAACAAAACAGCTTGTCAACTAACTTCAGACAAAAAGTCACCAACAATATTAATGCTGTTTAAGTTTTGGTCAAAAGGTTTCACTCTTTGCTCATTTAACATTTCATACTGTGGTGATATAAAGTACACTTAAATGAAAACATGTAAGATTATGTATTACATTTTCAAATGAAATATGGCTTTTCTGCTGTTGCTTTTACCATGAATTCAACAATAATGGTGAATGTTGATTCCTATGATAAATCTTGTCTTGGTGACACAGCAGGGGGTTTTTGCTCTTAGCTAAAGAGAAAAGTATTTTGTTTGTCAGGCCGACAAGATTGAAGAAAAACACAGCGATCATCAGGTAATTTTCACACTTCAGCAGAAGCTTTGTGCTGGAAAAAAAAAGGGTGTGAAACCATTTATTTAGTGATTACATGCAGGGAACTGAATGTCTGGTATGTCACACAGAAACCAATAAGAGAGTGGAAAACAAACAATAAAGTCAGGTTGAGGAATGTGTCAAACGTCTTTGATGTATTGTCAGAGTTATTGTTACAGGTTGGAGACATGGTTTTATGATCGTGACATCAGTGCACAAAATATGTTTTGTGTCTCTTTCAGGAGTCAGAGGCATCACGTTTTGAGAGTGTGGCATGACGACAAAATGACTACAGAAACTACTTGCACCCATTCATTTAACTGAGGTTAAAGTCTTCCAGATGTTTGGAGTGCTTCCTTATGTTAGGCCTCGTCCTGTGCCTGGCTCTGGCTGGTAAATAGAGTATCAGAAAGGTCACAAGGTCAAATATGCCTTCTTGTTTTGCTGGAAAGATTTAGAGAGGACACACTTACCAGAGACATTGTAGTACATGTGTATGAGAGCTGGTATGAAAAAAAAATTACACCACACCACTGATATTGTCAATAAAACATTGGTGTGAATCAGAGGAGAGTTAGAAGTGGGTATACCCTATGGCGACTGAAAATTAAGTGGGTATACCCCACATACCCTGCAATACACCACTGACTGTATTGTTCTTAAAAACCTTACAGTGGGGCTCTGGATTCCAAAAGTCCTGACAAAATATTCTTTATTTGTAAATTGAGAAGTTCACCTAGCCCTTAAATATTTTAGAACTTCAAACCAGCCAAAGTGAAAAACAAAAACAAAAAAAAACATATATTTAAGAATGATGAAAAATTAAATATTAGAGAGCAGTTACAAAAGTCTGTAACAAAGACAAACCTTGTGCTTAAATGGAAATCTATACATAAAAATAAAAAATACATAAAAAAACTCATTATTTTGTCAGCTGTCAGCTTATTTGAATCCATTGAAAATACATTTGCAGTGATACTACCTCATTGTTCTGTGACTCTTGCGATATAAAACTTATAACCTACACATCAATAGAAGAGCCTCTTACGGAGGACAGACCCAACACAAGGCATCATTAGGCAGCTCAATTAACAGCTTATAGTTTTCAACAAAGTCATTCAGCAAAATAATCACTAGCATGCTTTGAGTGCAGGGGTTATTATAATGGATTTACTGTAAACATTCTTAGCAAAACACTTTAGTTCATGACTGATTTAGACAGCTCCGAAATGAAAGACTATTGCTCCAGCGCAGTCCAGAGTGGAGAAATCCAAAGCTATGGCTTTTCCGAGCTTGTCAAGAGGACTACTTTGTGGCATTTTTCCAACCTGGACAGATATTGATAACATATTGATGTGCAAGTAATAAAGCAGAAATAGTCATTTAAAGCCCAATCTTTTAAAAGTTTTGTTTTGCTGTTGGTATGTCAGGTTTTGTGTATGATCCAACTTAAGATCCATCAATTGCTGTGGACTGAAATAAAGCATTAACATTTCTGTGAGCCATGTTTTTCTTGTGGTGTGTGTGTGTGAATGTGCGCGTGTGTGTGTCTGTCTGTGTGTGTGTGTGTCTGTGACTCCAGTGCAGACTAATGACTCAGGGCTGGCTCAGTACCTGAGGATAGGGTTACATGAGCTGTCTGTCAGCGCACACAAAATGAGCCCCCTCAGGACAGAATAGACAAAGTGTTGTTCACACCGCACCGATGTCAAGTACTATTAAGAATTAATCCTTTCACGTTTGTTTTAGGGAAGTTGGACTACAGATGGGTGATGCTTGACACCAGATACCTTCAAATCACAGGAATGTACTGTGATGTTTTGTTTATTGGTGCGGCCCTATACAACTAACAGACAGATTGAGTATGTACATTTTCTACACACACACTTATCGTGTTCAGGGTCACAGGAGGCTCATCTGGTTGAGAGCTACACCCTGGATGACCTGTCACAGTGCTGACCGAGGGAGAGAGACATGTTGTCCGTCTCTCCTCACACTCATAGGCAACTTAGACTCACTAATTTATCTCACGTTCACCTTTCTCTGTGGGGTCTGCTGGTCTCTGGACTAGAGACCACTGAGTCACCATGGCTTTGATGTCATGTGAGGAGTCTTTCAGATAGTATGAACAAGGCTGAAATTTGAAATGATGTCTCTTTATGAAAAGCAAATAAGACCATTAGCGACAAAATGAAAGAAGGAATTTAAATCACTCTGCTGAAACAGCCTTTACTAATTTTTCCACAGCAAAGCTTCTCTGTAACTGATGTGTTTAACTGTTAGCA